AAGGAGTGGAGTTTGACTTTAACATCGGATTTGTGAAAAAGCGAGATGAGAAACAAAGGGAGGGGAAGAGGGGTTCTCAGGGCCAGTGGAAAAGCGTGGCTGCTGTTCTGAGGAGTTTGGCCTGAGCGTAGTCTGTAGGTCTGGGAGGAGGGGAGTGGTGTGGATAAATAAGAAAGTGGCCAGACAGACCCCTGAGTGTTCTTGGGTGGGGATATTGGCTTATTTCTCCGCCTAACATTCTTGAGATGTTTTGGAAGATTCTTGTAAATGTCCTGTTGGGTGGCATTTCGGTGTTTGTTTCTTTAAACGACTTAGCTGCCTTAGCTAGTGAAGGAAGGGTCTTTGAGAAAGGAGGCCATTTCTTGACATCCTGTTTTCTGTCACTACTGTTGAGGAGAGGTAAAGCCAAGCCCGGCTTATAGAACACTTTCCGCGCGAGACAAGCGCCCCTCTGTTCCTGTCCCAGTGTTACAGAGAGGCCATTCAGGCCTCGGGACCGAGAAGATAACATGGCACGCTCACTGAGTCGTTTTCTATTTACCTTCCTGTTTTGTTCCGTCATTAAACGGTGTTAGAATTGAACATTAGGACTCTTTTTTTCTGGCCAAAAGAAAACACAAGTGGCTTGTGGACTGCAATATTGACCCACACAGATGCTTCCAAAGGAGTAGAAAGCGCTGGCCGTGCGTCCGCAGAGAGGAGCTGGTGCCACATGCCCCAGCTGCCCCTCCCGAATGCAGGCTCCGCGCCCAGAGGACATCGTAAATCACTTGTAATTTATGATGAGCCTGAGCGTGTGTTACACCCTGCTGGTTGGCTGGTGTCCTGTACACATGATGACTGCCCTTTTCCAGAGCATACAGGGGCCTTTTTCAGATGAGCCATAGGATGGAGAGCTGAGGATTTTCCCCTCGGCTGGCCCAGCCACAGAGGAGAGGAAGAAGACAGAAGACTCTTGTTCTTCGAGTTTTGCCACAAGCCTCACTTGCTTTCTCCTAGATGGGAGGTAGGGAAGGGGCAGCAAACAAGACCGTGATCATTATTAGCCTATTTTCTTTTATTCGTCTATTCAACAAACACACCTATCTTCTGAGTGCCAACCACCTGCAAGGCACTGTTGGGGATACAGCAGTAAGCAACACAGGGCTTTGATTCTCGCCAAGACTACACTGACACAGAGTAGTAGGTTCTGTGTCAGGAGGTGATGACGTATTTTGCAGGGTAGGAAGATGGTTAAAGACAGGAAGGGGAGCAAGTTATTCCACACTGGGTGTGTAGGAAATGGATTTCCAATCAGGGAACCATGAAGAAAGTGATAGAGCAAGCCAGTGGGTTCTGGGGAAATTGCATCCCAGATAAGGACAGAGGCTACCATGCAGGGGCCCAGCTGTGGGTCGGAGGGGCTGGAGCAGAGAGAGCCAGGAGGGAGTGGTAAGGAGGGAGACAGATGAGGGAGGACTAACCTATGGCTCATCTGGACACCATGCCAAGGAGTTGAGATATTATTGAATGTGAGCTAGGCAGCCAGAGGGAGTTTTTGGAAGGTTGATCCCTTCAAATACTTGAGAAACCAGACTCTAAGCATGAAGTCAGGAAAACGGGGAACCACACACCCTTCACACCTTAGAGGAGTGTGTGCGATTGTCATCAGGATTGGACTGTCAGACATTTACCTCACCCAGTGCAGAGTGTGGAACAGAAACTCTAGTTTTGCTTGATCTGGTGTAAAAATCACGCATGCTTTTTAAATTGGGATACAAGTGAGTAACCATGAGCCATTCACACAACTGGTGGGAATACTTTTCGTGGACAGACCTCGCCACCTCATCCCGGGACGAGTGTCCTGCGAAGCTTCTTCTCCGGCATCCGGCAGTGGTTATGCTACAGCTGTGAGCGGGGCTCCCAACATTCTCGCTGTTCTTGCAAAGATTGGCATGAGCTTCGGAGTCAAAGAGCAGATACTTGGGATCAGATTCTAGGAGGCGTCAGCAACCCGCTTTGCTCTCGGTTAACGTGGATGGAGCTCACGCGGGCTGTTTTCCCTGCACAAATGTCTTAGTCTAGTCTAGAGCTATGGGGGGCATGAGCTTGGTTAAGGTGATTCCGACTCCTTGTGAGGAATATCTTTCTAAAAATGAGGGAGATGGATTGTAGAGGGGGCTCCACCATAGCGCCCACCCTGCCTCTACGTGTGTGCAAGCAGGTGAGCACGTCTCAGGAAAGTTCCTGAAATGACTCTTGCTTTGTGTGGCTGTTGGACTAGAATGAACTCTCAGATTCATTCCGATGCAAAACCTTTCCGAGCCTATGAAAGTGTTCGGTGAATGTGCTCTGCAAACATACAGACACTATATAAACAGGAGGCAAATATTTTAAAAGATGAAGAGTGAAATACTTGTTCTTCTGGGAGAGCCGTGGTTGGAACTTAGTGCCCTAACAACATACCTTCCACGCTTAGTCGCCTGCAGTTTGTTCTCATTGGCCCCAAACACAGTTATCTGCTTTATGTGTTAAAAATGTGCTCAGCCAAAGACCAAACAAATAGCCAGAGGCATTTTCCTATCAGGGCCCTGTTTGTAGGAGGTAGAGCCAAGGAACAAAGCTGTGGGTTTTGAGTCTTGGCAGGAAGCCAAGCTGCTGCTTGAAAGCTCCAGGATTTACAAGGAAGAAAGAGGAGGGATTTTTAGCTGAGATTAAGTTGGAATTAAAGCAGCAGAAAATTTAAAGTTAAAATTAAAGCCTGCTCTGGAATCCATGATGGAAAGGCAGAAGCATTCTGGGCTCTCAGATGGTTTTTCAGAGCAAGAATGAAGATTTTGAAAGGTGCTTAACGCAGAGCTTACAGAAGGGCCTTGATTAATGATACAGGGTCCCACAGCATTTGAGCTGGGCGAGCGTCCTTTAGGGATCATCGAATCTCGTCCCTCGGTTTCCAGATAACGGATCAGGAGCCCTGGAACTTGCAGAGACTGCCTGCTGTCACACAACTATTGTAGAAGTTCTGGTGCTAGAATCTAGGACTCCTGACAACCATTTTGTGGTTTCGGCCACTTTACAGAAGCAGCAAACAATTGAAAGTTGTTTCCAAAGAGCAAGGGGCAGACGCCACAATGACTGCATTCTGCAGTTGGCTCCCAGGATGTGGCCTCATCCCCAGGCCCAGGGTGCCACCTGCATCCTCAGACTTAGCAGCACGGCCTCTGTCCCCCACCCCAGCAGCAGGGGATGAGGCCTGGAAGAGGCCTGCCTCCCCTCAGAGCCCCAGTCAAGCTTGAATGGGTCTGTAGGCTCCAGGGGAGACTGCCCTGGTCAGGGCCCTCTAACCACCTGCACAATCTCGGCAGCGTCCCACAGTGTCACTGTGGGTGCTGCTGTTTGGCTTCCTGTGCTGACAGGGATTCCCTCCTCTTTGACCAAAGCCTGAGCAAATCGAAGCTGTAGGTAAATAGCAGCTCTCTTTTTGCCTAAAAGAACTCCCATAAAAGAACAGGCCCTGCTGGCCCCCCCACTTGCAGATAACTTTGCCCACTGAGATCACCAGCATCTAAGTGAGCTGTTGTTACTTCCTTCTGGAAGGGTGGGTAGAGGTTGGGGTGGATGGGGAACCTAAAGGAACAGGGGACGCTTCTGTGTGTGTCTCCATTTGAACCTGTAAAATGTTATCTTACCCCCCCACACACACTATTTCTTTATTTGCTTATTCATTAATTTTCTTGTTGTTTTACATTCTGATTCTATCCAAAAAATTTTGACCAAACCTAGAACAAAGAGCACAAAGGCGGTCAATAGAATATAAATGAAGTCAGGTCGCTGAGGGAGGAGGGGGAAACAGATTTCCCCATGAATTGTCATATGAAATCTGTGTTAAATATCAGCTTTTACCCTGGCCTTTCTGGCAACCAGGTTAAAAAATAAATACACCAATTCTAGTTATCAGAAAGGAAAAATGTTCAATTTCTTCAAGAGAGACTAAGTGTTGCTATTCTGGGGCTCTTGGTGTTACTAAACACTTATTGAGGACTTTCTGGTGCCTAATACAAAGCTCCCAGCCCCAGAGCACCCCTCCCTTCTCCCTCCCTTCCAAGTGTCCTTGCTTCAGGCCACCTGGAGCCGCCTCCCTCTCCGCCCCCAACAAAAAACATGTTCTTAGTGTTATCATTGGCTCTGTTTGTGTGTGTCAGGGCATGGCTTGGGGTAATTGTGTTGTCCAGGGTGTCTCTAGGATTTGCAGATTAGAAGGTCTGGAGTCGGAATTGTAGAGAGGGTCAGAATCCAGTCCTACTGTGGCTACCCAGTGTACCTGTCCTTCCCCAAAGAGCCCTACACCCCTTCTCTGGCCCTTTTTGCTACGTCAGGGTGCTGTTTTGAACAGGGTGTAATTGGAATTTAGATTCTTCCAGAAGAAAGAATAAGCAGTGTTGAGAGTCCCACCCCTTTCCATGACTCGACTTCATCTTCCTAAGACGGGATATGTGGGGGGATATAAGAACACTATATAATTTTCTAGTATGGCAAGGAAAAGAGTTACAGAAATCTGATGTGTTGCACTTTTGTAATAGGATGTGTAAGAGAAAAAACACTGAAAAAGTCATCTCTTCTTTCTGGGTTACCCAAATGTTTACTGAAAGTTTGCTTACTTGTTGATTTTTACTGTAAATATACATATTCTCTATACACATTTTATGTTCATGAAAACCTATGTTTTAGAATGCATCATTACTAAAGAAAGAAATACTTGAAAGTGAGAAGTAGTTGATGTGAAATAATTTCTCTGGATTCTTGGCCCATCACCATCATTTGAAGACCAGACCCAGCGGCTGGGTTTCAGACCAAGGGCTCTGGTCATTGCCCTTGTCCTAATTATGTTGACTCTAATCACTTGTGCTAGACAACTAGAAAAACTGGGGTTTGAGTCCTCCCAGAATGAATGTACTTGGAATGTTTTTCATAATATTTTGAGCAATGACTTGATTCTTACATGTGCTTATTCTTTTTAAAAGTATTAGAAAGGAAGATATCCACAAGACAAAGTAGAGAGGAGCTGATAAGAAGGGGAGTTCTTAAGGAATTGCCTGATCAAGGTGAGGAACTTAATCATGCATTTAAAATAATTTGATCCTTCATTCTTTGGTCCTTCTTTCATTTTCCTTTGAAACTTAAGATGATCGTGGTCTTTGGGAGATAAAGCAGTGAGTGCCGCCCTACGGGAATCTTGCTTTAATTCAGAATGCCTTTGTGGGCTGCAATGAATCTAAGGTCTTCTGGAAAAGAAATTCAATTACCTTTTTGGTGAATCCTTCACCATATGTCACTCTAAACCTAAAGCTCTACAAAGGTACCCTGTAGCTGGAGAAACAGATAAAGACACAAATACTTACGGGACTGCTTCTTATCTCTACTGTTGAGCTTAGGTCTTTCCATGCAAGTTAACTCAGTTGGCGTAAGTGCCGAGTTTAGCTTGGCTCCTGAGTTTGGTTTCTTAAGTCTACCAGTAAAAGTAAAGAGAGAGGAAAGAGATGATTAACATACCTCTCTTGCCCTTTATAATGCACTCAAATGTACAATCAATAAGGCATGAATGGGCAAATTAAGTTAATTTGCTTTATCATTCTCTCAAGTAATTTTTTGTCCTCATTTCTTTGGATCTGTCTCTCACCTTTTCACTAACAATTATTTCCAAGTATTTTTTTCTACCTCTATCTGCTTCCCCTTTTTTCTCTATTCTCCTAAAAAGATAAGAATTAGGTGGAAACTGAGATAGACTTTCAAAAGATTGGTTATTTCTCCAAGTAAATAATACTGAATAATTTTCATTGCTCCCACTACTATTGAAACTGAATAAATTTTTTGTTGCAACATTGTTTTTTACCTCCTGCCTTCCCCCTCCCCAACATTTACTGGGGTAAATTGTTATTATTATACTTTTATAGGAACAAATAATAAGCTATTAAATTGGAGCTCTTCTCCTGATCTATGTTCCTTGCAAAGAAATTAACATCTTTTGGCATTCACTACTTATAAATCCAAGTGACACGCTTTTTCCAACGTCTGAATAATCCAAGTGGAGCTAGGAAATGTTTTACTATTTTATTCTTGCTTCAAAGAAAACAGGGAAGTCTGGAGTGAATACTACTTTTTTTTTTTTTTTAAGCCCTCACAATTTTAGGTATTTTACTTTGATTTCTGGCCTGTTATATATTTCTCCACTCCATTTTATGAATGAATTTTGTCTTCCCTAATTTTCTATTACTTTGAAGCTACTTATTTCCTGCCTGGGACTTTTAAAAATAAAAAATACACATCCTTAATTTTTTTTTTTTCCTTGAAGGTCAGCTCACAGTATAAAAATTTGTCTCCTCTCTAATCTCTCTGGAGGCAGGAGAGGAGTTTCAAATCCACTGACAGCTGAATGCTGCCTGGTCACATCTATTTCAATATTTTAAAAAGGAAAATAAATGAAAATTTATGATTGAAACTGTCAATGAATATTAAAGATAGAGATTAAAGTCCCATTTTTTATCTAATTAAAAATTGTAGCTAGGAAAGAGTGTACTTTTTCTAAAAACAAGTGGCAATTGTAAATCTAAAGAAATGCTTAGTATTGCTTTTTTTTTATTCTTCCTAACCTGTTAAATTATTTGCATGATGGATTACAATTTTATAGACTTATTTCCCCAAAAGTCTGACCTCCTTGACCATTTTATTTACCTTTTGCAGACTGGACATTAAAAGTTTTAAGACACAAAAGAAGAAAAAAAATTTTAACCTAAACATAATATAATAGGTTTTAATGTTTGGGAAGTCATCAATTACTGAATTTTACTTTCACCTTTTGCAGAGTCCCTGTAGACAACTATAGAAATTACCTAATACTTGGACATGCCCGGTGATGCCTATTGGAAATAGAGTCTTTCCCCCTTTTCTGCCAAGAGCTGGAGAAAATAGATTTTTGTCATTTTTCCCTAAACAATTATCTTGATAATTTCAGTCTGTTTTCAGCTCTAGCCAGAGACTGGAAGCTGCTGTGCTTGGTGACAGTCCCCTCTCCTCTGCCACGAGGATTCATTCTTTGCCTTGATCTTCTTGACCTTGCCTTAGCTCTTGACAGTGCTTGTCAATTATGCCCTTCCGTCAGGGAGCCAGATAGACTGTTTAAACCTCTCCAGCTACCCTGGGTTGGACCTTGTCCCGCCCAACTCCATACCCTCCCTCCTAGCTATTATTATTATTCCTTTTAAATTATCCTTTTTACACCAAGATCTAACTTTAATCTAAAATTTCAGGAACTGGTCGTCTCTCTTGAGAAGTTGATGGTCTAGTCCAGCCGTGGGCAAACTACGGCCCGCAGGCCGGATCCGGCCCGTTTGAAATGAATAAAACTAAAAAAAAAAAAGACCGTACCCTTTTATGTAATGATGTTTACTTTGAATTTATATTAGTTCACACAAACACTCCATCCATGCTTTTGTTCCGGCCCTCCGGTCCAGTTTAAGAACCCATTGTGGCCCTCGAGTCAAAAAGTTTGCCCACCCCTGGCAAGTTCAGTCCTCATCTTCTGGTCTTCCCTTCCGTCCTTTTCCTTAGCTTTAACCTGAGGGCATGTAGATGTTTTTGCCTGCTTGCCAGCCTCCTTCCCTTTTCTCTCTTGGTGTACTTTCTAGCCTTCTAAAGAGTCACTCACCTTTTGCTCATACCTGATATTCTCCTGGTCTCTGTTCCTGTATTAACTATATCTCACATACACTTGTTTACCAGAAAGAGGGGAAAGCCCTCCAACCCTCTCATGCTCCTTGCTTAACCTCTTATTTCTATGTGTGCGTTAGCTCTTGGTTTACTCTAATCTCACAACTCTTTTCTGAGTTTTCCCTTTTCTTTGCATATAAATGCTCCTGTAATACTTGGTGTAGGCCTCTTATATAACTTGCCGTCTAGCTCAGTGTCTTCTTCTGCTTTCTCTTGCTGAGCTTTTATTTTACTTACATACATAATCTATATTAAGGACTTAACTTGTTTTAATTCCAAAATAGTATACAAAGCTAGAAAACTTTCTCACACACCAGTTAGCTTCAGTTCTCCTTTGTTTTATTCTTAACGTCTACATTTATTACAGATATGCTTTCTTTTTCTACGGTTTTTCCTTTATAAGAGTAGCTTTATTTCATATCTCAAAGTAAGTATCCTTTCATATTGTCAACGATTACTATCATATGATAATCCAATTTGTTCTTGTAATAATAAATAAGAATATTTTGGTTTCTTTTTGTTTTGACGCATACTCTTTAAAAATGTATTGCCTTAATTTTATTGAAATAGTTAAGATGCACTGGCAATGGCATTGCCTTCAATTATTGTCTATTATTTTTTTATACATGAGTCAGATTAGAGGTGTTTGGAAGTCACATGACTAAGCAAAAACTTTTACATTTTGAACGTGTATAACTTTATGATATGTATATTTTACTTATTAAAATGCCATGCTTGTTTTTGTCAATAAGACCAGCTGATGTCATTGTGAGGCCAAAGCCATTCTCTAGTATTTAATGAAAATTTGGAAGATGGTCTGTTTTATAATGGTTGGCAAAATAAAATTAATCAGAATTGTATACATTAGCAGTAATTATGCATTTCTTCAAGTTTTCTCAGTAAAAACTTCAATTCCTTAATTTTTTTTTTTTTTTTTTTTGCAATGGTAGCAAAGCTTCATAAAATTTTCCAGGGTTAATCTTTACAAGCATTTCGGCAGCTGAATGAAGAGTTTCTGCAAAATCTCTTTTCACTTTAGAAACGCCTAGTAATTGTGAACATTCAGGAGTTGCAATTGGTTATTTGTGATTTAGCTAACATATTAGAAATACTATTTTCAGTTATGATTTTTAAAAATTGTTCTGTAACTACTTTTTCTGCATTTTTTTTACCCCTAATATTTTCAAATTATTATTAAGCCAACTTAAAGACTCTTTGATCAGTTGTATATAACAAAGCACATGAGTTCATTTTAATGTTTTCATAAATAAGATACTGAAAATATAATTAGCCTTGCTACCATCATTCCTTGACTGTAGAGGAGCAGCTGTTCTGCTGCATTAAGTTAACATATCATAGAGGTAATATTCTGCCGATGGTGGTGCTGGGAACATGTCATATCCTCCCACTAATTGTTTGTATGTGTAAGTACATTTCGTATTACTTGTGTATTTTCATTCACCCTGTGTTTTTGGTGCTTGTTAAAATGTCTGTTCCATTTTTCAGGTTATTCCTTTTAGGTTCAGTTTCTGAATGACAAAGAGACTCCTAGTATTGACTTCAACAAAACTTAAGCACAAGAAGAGAGGGACTCTGCTGCCCGAGGGTGTTTTATCACTAGGCTGATCCATCCGACTATCTGAATGGCATCTGGATGCCCCCTCCATAGCTGCTCCCTCCCAAGATGAAGGATTTTCTAGTTCTTTCATTTGAATGAATTATTTAGTAAAACACGGTGAAATAGTACAGGATGTATTTGGTTCCCAGGGCCTGAAACCTGAACCCCACAGTCCTACTAACTGTAAAGCTGGGTTAAGAAAGCCATCCAATTAGACATCTAGGTGTTTCTTTCCCTATTTTAGATGGAGATGTAACAGTTAACTTTGAAAATTCAAACGGGCACATGATACCCATCGGAGAGGAATCTACCCGAGAGGAAAATATAGTAAAATCTGAAGAAGGTAATGGCTCTCTAGCTGGAAAAGCACCACCTCTGGAGGAAAAGGCAGAAGAGAAGAAAGGTAAAATCAAGAGAAACCCCTCATTCTTTTCCTTCACCACAGCTCAATGTCAGGAATCGGGTCTTAGGCTCCAAATAGTGATGTTAAGACCAGTAGAGAGGAAAATTTGCAGACACACAGAGGAGACAAATGATAACTAGTGAAGAGAAATTGGATAGTTTCCTCAAGTAGATGCATCCATTTTATAAGCACATCATTTTAATTTTTTATTAAAGAGGGCTAATTACCGGTAACAATCAGATGGATGGCCTCTTTAATGATTAGCGATGTCTGGGAATATTATCTTTTCCTCAGGAGCTTTTTCTCAGTATCTTCTTTGGAAAAAAAAAAAATGCCAGCATTCAGAACATCTTTCTGTGCTGGTGAGACGTGGCCCCTGTGAGCAACTCAGCTCAGAAGTGAGGGTGTGGCTGGTGCATCCACACACCCAACACTGTGGGTTCTAGTCCAGGTTCTAGAAATTTCTGAGAGAGACTCAGGAATTGTCCCCAGAGATGCTGAGGATTTGGGTTGCTGTACTGGCCTAGCTTCTGCTCAGTGATTTGTCTGTGCAATTGGAAATTTCAGAATATACCAGAGGCAATTATGCCATTCCCTAAAGGCTTCTTTAAGACCTTGCTTTCTGGAGTGACTATGCTATGGTAGGTTGCATAACTGCAAAATTCATGTCTATTAAGGACCCCCAGAATATTTACAAGTTCCTAGTCACTGATTGATCACCTCTGCATACCACTGCTATTACGTGCAGGTACCTCCAAGCCTCATACTCACGCAAACATAAACTGAAACTCCTATAAAGTAAGGCTTTGTTGGAAGTTCTAGATCCCATGCAGCATAAATATGAATCCTCAGGAAATGGACTATTTCCTTCTGCAATGTCTGCCTCTGAGTTGGTGGATGGCAAAAATTTGTCAAACCAAGTTTAGGTTCTGTAGGCATTTTGGGAACTCTTAGAATCTGCTGGAAGCAAACTTTTCTTCTGTTCTTGATCCAAGTCCTTCAAAGACAAAGAGATCAAAAGAGCAACCTGCAGACATTGTGACTTAAAAATCATCTACTCTGGAAGCCCATCACCCCTGTTATTTGCATGTAAATTAGCCTTTAAAAATTTTAGAAGCCTCTGGTAATCTGTTAGAAGTTTATTATTTTGCTTTATTCAATATTAAGTATACTATGGGACTTGTACTTAGTCTTGTTTCTTTGAAGGACTCTAGTTAAGCTTATGAGTATTGATTATGAGAAATTAACTAACATTTTTTCAGGATACTATTCCTGAAACCTAAAGAGAGACAGACCTAAATAGATTTTAAGGGGATTTAGTTGAAAGTATTATCACAAGTAGTGATTTCTTTTATTTTTTTATTCCAACTGTCCTGTTTCACCAAACTGTTACATTTCAAATCCATCTGTGGCCCATGCCTTGTCCATCCTTTGTGCATTGAAGAGTTACATTCTTTATTATGTAACAGTGCCATCTCCGGTGCTCATTTGGTCCGTGTGGGGTGTCCATCAGTGGACTGGCCAGACTTCAAAGGAGTCTTATCAACCTAATAAGAAGTTGCTGACAGTTTTATGTTAATTAAACCAGCAAGCCTTGATGTTCTACAAAGACGATGGCAGATCTCATAGGTCCATGGATATTTGAGAGATGTTTTTGTTTTCTTATTCTTTACTCAGAATGAGTACAGTCAGTTCCTTTTGGTCAAATAAGGTCCAAGATAGCACCTTGCTTGGCTAGTCTGTATATAAGGACATGAGATGCTGGGCATGTCGTCACACCCCCTGTAAGACACATGGCCTCCCTCCCCTGTGCGGATGGTGCACCCACCAGAGCCCCTCTGGGAAGTAAAATGAATGTCACTCATAATTCACATCACAAAACATTATGTTGAATAGGCAATACTTTAATGAACAAAGGTAACCATTTATTTCTCTGTAAAGGTACCATTTAATTCTAAAAACACCGCAAGATTCACTTTTATGTCTGCTCCTCTTCTGATCCCACTTCCTGTTTGAGCTCACTACCTTGCAAATCCACCATCCCAGGTTCTTAATTCACCCTTAATCTTGGGGTGCAGCTCTCCCTTTCCTTTCACAAGAACATTATTTATGCAACCTACCCAAGAGCATTATTTCATCTATTAATTGGTTATGTTTGTAAAACCACGTCATGTGCCTTTAAAGCCTGAGATGCTTGTATCTCTTTTTAAGACAGTATGTCAGTACTTTAGTATTTGAAACATCAGTGTCCAAAAAAAACAGATAACAAGTGGCCTTCACACTGCTCTGTGGGTAGGTTTCACCTCAGACATGTGGGTGGGTGCTCCTGAGGCTCCCGGAGGCACCTGATTCTGGAGTTGGTACAGTAATCTTGGGCCCAGCACTGGAGACTTTTCCCTGAAGACCTTCAGGGCTCCTAGTCTCTCATTAGTCTCTCAGCAAGGGCCCTTAATCATAGAAGAGGCAGAAAAACCGATCTGCAATCCGTTAAGTATAGCTTGGCATTAAATATGAGAAATCTGAAAATTATTGGATGTTATTTCTATTGAGGACTTTCAGTGAAGTAACAAATGATGTAATGCATTTGTGCCAACATAATAATGAAGGTCTGCCATGGGTAAGACTCTGCTGGGGACCAGGAAGAGAGTGGTGAATGAGCAATGGCCTTTGCCTGCAGGCAGATCGTGGCATAGGAGGAGCCAGCACGTGGTACAAAGTGCCAACCACTTGAAAGGCCTGAGTGCAGCAAGTCAAGACCTTCTCACGGGGACAAAAATCGGTCTGTAGGAAGATATTTCTAAACTAAGATTTGAAGGAGACAGCAGTCCAATGCAGGAGAAATGGGGGCAGAGGTGTAGTCTAGGCAAGACAAGACGCATGCAGTTCTCAGGTTTGCTCTGTTATTGAACTAAACTCTCCACGTGGTGGAGGGAGCCAAACATGGAAGTACAGTAAACAGCCATCCTCCAGACTATTGCATGAAACGGTGTCCTTGTCAAGCCAAAGGTCAAGGCAGCCTTTATGAATGAACCTCCTCTGGAAAAGATAATACGCATAGACTCCATCAACTTAATCATGTCTTCAGGTCATATGGCAATAGTTAAAAATATAACTTGACTGAATTCATTATCTCCCAGATAAAAGGAAGAGTTTGTTTTCAACTAGTGCATGTTGTTAATAACTGTCTGCTAATCAGTCACATTCATTGAATAGACAGGATGTTTAAAGTCTTCTGCTTAAAATTTTAGACAATAGTCGTTTATAATTTAGTCAGAAAAGCATACTGTTTGTGTGTGCACACACCCCCCCCCCCAGAATCACCACAGGGTAAACATAAACATCAGCCAGGTGGCAAACACACAGCGGTAATTGGTGGTGTTCGCAGAGGAAGGAGCGGGCCATGCTTCTCCAAGAGCCGGCCGGGCGTTTGCGTGCACTGTGTTCCTTTTCCACCCAGGAGGGATTGTCGTTCCCAAATGTCATAGAGCGAACCGTCTCCTCCTTCCCAGACCCAGAAGCTGGATTCTTTGGGGTATGACTTTAGAATTTAAAGCCATGGGCAGAAAGAAAAAAGATCCCTCCATGGTCTGCCATGAAGGCAGAGGGGAAAATTGTGAGGGTTGGTGGTGTGAAAGGGAATAGAGAGAGCAAGTGTTGTCAGTCCGTTTGGCTCTCACCAGACAATATTATTGGGCTTGAATTCTATACATGATATTATGCTAGGGGCTAACCTTCTAAAGAATGAAGAAGTACTTTATAGAATAGGCTTCTGCCCTACATCAAAAGACTGGCAAGTCAATGTCTAGTTATATGTTTTATGTTAAAACTAGAGGCCCGGTGCATGAATCATGCGTGGGTGGGATCCCTCAGCCTGGTTGGTGATCAGGGCTGTCTCGCCTAGTCCCGATTGGGGCTGGCCAACTGAGGGGGGGGGGGGGGGCTGCCAGAGGTTGGTTGGCTGTGGGAGCGCACTGACCACCAGGGGGCAGCTCCTGCATTGAGCATCTGCCCCCTGTTGTTCAATGCGTATCAGAGCTACCGGCTGGTCACCCGGCCATAACGGTTGCTTAGGCTTTTATATAGAGAGATAGATGTTTTAGGTGTGCATTAACTTGTGTTGTTCTCAAACCTAACTGACTTCTGTGATTCAGTGGCCTCCTGGTTCAGACCAGGTAGGTGAAGAGAGTCACTGCTCAGTTGGGGAGACGTGATATATAAACAGAAAGGCAAACACAAAGCAGCCTCTGATGCATGTTGAACCTGTAGCTACAATAAATTCATGTGCAGGAGGGGTCAAGTTGGGCTACAGTGGCTGAGGTGGGTTTCACAGCGGAGGGAGGATAAAAGAAGTTCTACTGATTACTTACCATAGCTTGAGTCATTTTTATGGTGGTTATATCAGTGGTTTGATGGGGATGTAGAAACACGGGGTGAGGGGGGTGAAGTCCTCATTTTCTAGGGTAAGAAACGTGATGCATGCTAATATTGAACTTTTTCTTGCTCACTCAATAATGGGAGGAAACATCCAGGGAAGGCTTAGCCTTGTCTGAATACTGTCTTACGTTTTTTTATTGTGCTCCATCTATAAAGAAATGCTGCTTAGCTCTTTGGACCAGAACTGTATTTTCATGTCAGTCAATCACTATTAGGAAAAATACGGATGCGACTATATGAATGAGCATTCCATATCTCCACTTTCAGTAATGAGAGACAAATACTATTTCTCCTCAGCTAGGGCTAGGCAAAACCTTGTGAGAGGTTCATATTCTTAGATACAAAATTGTTAAAAAAAAGTTTAACCCTTGTCTTTTCAAAATTGTTACTTGTGTTACTTATGTTTTTACATCACAAAACAAGTTTGGTAGTTTTTGGATTCTGTCCCTGTAGTCGTGGCACTGTTAGGACAGGCCAGAGGAAGCTGTTGTAAGACAGGAAGCTGCCCGACTGCACCAGGAGAGCTTGAGAAAACAGTTCATCCTTTGGTGCATTGTGTTTCCTGTAAAGGGTTCCACAGAGGCTCCCTTAGCTTAGAAAGTTACTGGGTTTTGACCCCAGTGAGGCAGAGCACCACCCGTCTGGTTGATGAGTCTTAAGTTCTGACAGCAAGGGGACCAAGGTAACTGTGGGTCCAGCCATCACGGGTAGTAAGCCCCTCACCCCGTGGTGGTGTGTGTAATGTGCTGATCAGTCACTCTCGGGAGCCCTTCAGTTTTGTGAAATTCAATGTAGCAATCATGCTCACACCATCATCCAGCAGCCACCAATTCAAGGCTGGTGTCAGCCCCTGACGATGGACATTTATATTCATCCTGAATGTAACTTCATCAACATCACTTGTGCAACCCTGTGTTATCACAGGAATGATTCATGTCCCCAGACAACGCAGCCTGGTTTGGCTTTCAGCCTTTGTTCTGACCCCAAACATGGCTCTCTCTGGTGCAGAACGCCACCCTGGTTCCCAAGGGCCAAGCAGCTGCATGTTTGTATCGCTGTCACCGTTTGTCTCACTCCGGCTATATATGGCGTGTGTCTGTATCAGTCTGCTACTGTTCACTTTCTCATTTGTAGAGAACACTGAAAACCACTCTGAAACACCGGCAGCTCCTGCTCCACCTCCTTCAACTCTTCCTAAGCCTAAACCCAAACCTAAGCCCCCCAAAACAACTGTGCCTCCAAAAGGGGCTGCTGCTGGGGCCAGCCCCAAGGGTGACGAAGTGCCTCCTATTAAAAAAAATACCAAGGCTTCTGGTAAACAGGCCCCCATCCCTCCACCCAAGCCAACAAGCCGAAACACGACCCGAGAGGCTGGTAAGTATGCCCCCAGTGGTGTTGAGTCCAGGGTGCACGGCTCTGGGGTGGGGCTGATTTGGATGGTAGCCTTTTGATTGTCTGGTGTCTTAGGGTGGAACACCAGTGCGTTTAGCTTTGACACCGAGAATGCCCAGGAGATTCCTTTGTTGCTATCTCCATCAAAAGAAAGTTGACCAGTTGATTAGTTGACCTCATTAGTTTAGGGGTGAATAGACCTCTTTCATCCTGAGTAGCCACTTATCTGCACGAGGACCTTCAGAAAGAAACAGGAAAGCAGTGTGTCTGGTGAATGGTGATGATCTGATATGATATTATTTAGACATCAACTGGCCTTCTACCTGTTTGAGTTTATGGGTAGATTTTTGGCTTGGGTTTTCTTTCAGAATGTCTTAGGTTTGCACGTAAAAATGTGACACTGCATCTTTGACATAGTTGCTGTATTGTATTGTCTTAAATATGTGCACATACCTAGTCATTTATCTATTCATAAACGACAAAGTTTGGGTCAGCCCACCACTCTCTATTGAGTCATTCCTGTTTCAGCAGAGTTGAAAGTTACATGCTCAGAGCTCCCTCCGCCCCAGAGGACTTTAATCGGTTAGCAGGAAAGCATCCTACTGTGTGGTTACAAGTCACTATTGCAGTTCACCAGGGCAGTGGTCGGCAAACTGCGGTTCGTGAGCCACATGCGGCTCTTTGGCCCCTTGAGTGTGGCTCTTCCACAAAATACCACATGCGGGTGCGCACGTACAGTGCGACTGAAACTTCGTGGCCCATGTGCAGAAGTCAGTATTTTGTGGATGAGCCACACTCAAGGGGCCAAAGAGCTGCATGTGGCTCGTGAGCCGCAGTTTGCTGACCACTGCACCAGGGGATGTTTTGGTGATCTACAGCATCTGCAGGGGATATGTATCCAGCTCTCCTTTCACATTAGATACGCTTAACCCAAAGGGAGCGCCCATCTTCTAGTGAAGTGGCATGAGGAAGCCCACCATGCCACCCAGTTTTTATGAGACATTAATCAAAATACACATGCTAGGTGGCTTTTTGCCATTAACACGTGCATAAAAGTCCTGTCTTTTAGCAAACCTTATTTGCCGGGGTCCAACCCCAGCAGGTCCAGGGGTCCCCAAAGGTGTGGATGGAGTTGGCGAAGAAGGAATGACACGGAGACAGCGTTCAGTTGATCAGCAGCCTAGCCAGGATCTCTAGCCAGGATCTCCAGCCAAGTTCTGGTCTGGATCTCCAGAGAGGTTCTGCTTAGGATCTCCAGCCAGGTTCTGTGTCCATGTTCTCTTGCTAGGTTCTCCAGGTTCTCCAGCCAGGCTCTGTAGCCATGTTCCCTCGCTAGGTTCTCCAGCCAGGTTCTGTCCAGGTTCTCCAGTCAGGTTCAGTCACCAGGTTCTAGTCAGGTTCTCTTGCCCATTTCTGTAGTCAGGTTCAGTCCAGGATCTTTTGCCATGTTCTCTCCAGCGAAGTTCTTCTGTCTCTAGAGAACGTTCTGTGGAGGTTCTGTGCCTCCTGGTTCTGTCTCTCTTGGTTCCGTATTCTAAGTTCTGTGTCCTAAGTTCTGTGTCCTAAGTTCTGTGTCCTAAGTTCTGTGTCTTGCTGTCTTGTTATATCTGTATTTATACCAGTTGATTCAATCCTATCAATCTCTATTACAAAGGTTAGGGCGTTTCTTATCTCCATGCCAGGGAGTAAAGATTATGTAGCTTAAGCATGATTGTTCGTAGTTAAAGTGATTAATTACCCACCTGGCACTTAGTTAAGAGGTTTTATTCCCTCCCTAACTTCAGGGGAAAATCCCTACCTGGGGAAACAACCTTTCTCAGAGACCTTGGTTAAAACACATAGTGCCAAGAAAGTGAGCAAACATATTAAGAACAGTATGCCATATATGCCTGGTCCCTTGAAACAGCAAGCATGGACCGGCTCCCGACAAATTCCCCCTTTTTTATTTTTTAAAAGCGGGCATTAAAAAGAAAAACCCGAAATGCTCTCTTGTATCCATTTTAAGAGTAGGATTGGCGCTTTCCGCTATTACCTGAGTCCTGATCTATCACCCCAGGGAGAGCTTGCCAATCCTACACTTTCCCGGGGTGGAAAGGCTGCAGTGGGGTTAAGGATAAGGCTCCTTGGGCCTACCTTCTCCCATGCCTTTACATTTACCTTTCCTTCCTCAGAAAAGCATGGACATATTTCTTGTATAAAACGTTCTGTCTGACTGGGAGTAACCTTAATTCCTCTGCTAGCAAGCATATGTGTTAAAAGATCAATACAGAGTCTTATTTCTTTAGACTCAGTATGGCACATCTTCTTAATCTAAAGATCAATACAGAGACTTCTTTCTTTGGACTCCGTATGGCACATCTTCTCAATCTAAGAACCAATACAGAGTCTTCTTTCTTTGGACTCAGTATGGCACATCTTCTCAATCTAAGTTCTGTACTATCCACCTTCTTACCCTACTTATCCTCTATAGGGGGGTTTGCAGCACCCTGGTGGAGTCCTATCCGTCCCGAATGTGGGGGTTCTCAATGGGGGGGGGCTTACCTAGGGGAATCTGTTCCAGGGGTTCCCAAAGGTGTGGACGGAGTCAGCGAAGACTATCCACCTTCTTCCTATGGTGGAGTCCGATCCATCCCGATTGTGGGGCAAAGACTATCCACCCTCTTTCTACGGTGGAGTCCTATCTGTCCCGAGTGCGGGGCACTTGCCTAGGGGAATGGGGGGCTTACCTAAGGGTCCCTGTTCAGACGCCGTATGCCGGGGTCCAACCCCAGCGGGTCCAGGGGTCCCCAAAGGTATAGACGGAGTCGGCGAAGAAGGAAGGACACGGAGACAGTGTTCAGTTGATCAGCAGCCTAGCCAGGATCTCTAGCCAGGATCTCCAGCCAAGTTCTGGTCTGGATCTCCAGAGAGGTTCTGCTTAGGATCTCCAGCCAGGTTCTGTGTCCATGTTCTCTTGCTAGGTTCTCCAGGTTCTCCAGCCAGGCTCTGTAGCCATGTTCCCTCGCTAGGTTCTCCAGCCAGGTTCTGTCCAGGTTCTCTAGTCAGGTTCAGTCACCAGGTTCTAGTCAGGTTCTCTTGCCCATTTCTGTAGTCAGGTTCAGTCCAGGATCTTTTGCCATGTTCTCTCCAGCGAAGTTCTTCTGTCTCTAGAGAACGTTCTGTGGAGGTTCTGTGCCTCCTGGTTCTGTCTCTCTCGGTTCCGTATTCTAAGTTCTGTGTCCTAAGTTCTGTGTCCTAAGTTCTGTGTCCTAAGTTCTGTGTCCTAAGTTCTGTGTCTTGCTGTCTTGTTATATCTGTATTTATACCAGTTGATTCAATCCTATCAATCTCTATTACAAAGGTTAGGGCGTTTCTTATCTCCATGCCAGGGAGTAAAGATTATGTAGCTTAAGCATGATTGTTCGTAGTTAAAGTGATTAATTACCCACCTGGCACTTAGTTAAGAGGTTTTATTCCCTCCCTAACTTCAGGGGAAAATCCCTACCTGGGGAAACAACCTTTCTCAGAGACCTTGGTTAAAACACATAGTGCCAAGAAAGTGAGCAAACATATTAAGAACAGTATGCCATATATGCCTGGTCCCTTGAAACAGCAAGCATGGACCGGCTCCCGACACTTATTTTCCCTAAAATCAGCAGCAACGTTCTTGCAATCAGCTACCATGATTTGCCTTGTTGTTGATCTTTTTCCCTTTGTAATTCATGAGTTGACGGTATGACAGATCTCTGAATGTAGATAGATGTCTCCTTCCTTGTGTCCCTCTCTTCGGCCTTTGACCTTGAGTGCTGGGTCTCTTCTAATGAGGGCTAAATGAAATGTCTCAGAATGCCCTGCCAACAATGCGTTCAGGCCATTTCCTGAGGGACCAGCTGCCCTCACATGTCAGCATCCATTCTTGTTGGCATCTGTGTTTTCCTGACTGCCTAGCACACCGTAGGATCAGCCTCATGTGATATAGGCTCTGATCCACTTCTTCAAGAAAAGCTCCAAGCTGGAGGCCAGTCCTTGGCCTCACACATCCTTCCCTCTTCCTCATACCCCACATGGGAGCAGCTCGCTACGGGCTCGGCTTACACTCCGTCTTCCTTCTCTCAGAAGAAAGCTGATTAATGCCAGGGTAGGGGACAGCTTCCATGAAAGATTTTTGAGTTATTTCCAGATATTTTATAACTTGAAGGTTTATTTACAGACTCATGATGTTCCTAAGAGAATAGTACAGTCATGTTATCCATTATATTTAAAGAAGCCCGACTGGACCACAGTGTATATAAAAATGTTGCTATTCACGGGGCTGCCACAGAGAAACGGTTGCATTGAAGTACACTATCAAGTCCGTCATACAAGGATCCTTTTGTCAAATATTGATAACACTCCATCAGAATCCAGCTGATACTCCATTTGTAACCACTTAGAACTTTCTACATGGTAATGTTTCACTTGAACAACGTTGACCTTTTAGAAAGTTACTTCAAATGCTGTTCTTGATGTTCACTCAGATGTTTTTAGTTCTCAAGGAAAGCTATCGGTTAAGATTCTATTTCTATTACCTAATTAGTATACACCTCCAGGTGACCAGATAGCTGTTTGGCACAGTCAGCTAAATTGCCCATGAAATAAGGCAAAATCTCCTATCTTGGGTTCTTTCTCCTACAGTGTCATGCACTTTGATAACAACAAAAGCAGTTAACTGGGAGAGGTGGCATTTCTTTTTGGTCCTAGCCTTCACTCAAGGTGACTTAAGCAACATGGCTGATTTCAGCAAAGTCCTGTTCGAATTGCTATGTGGAAGGGATTATGTTCAATTTACCTAAGAAAATAATTGAACATGTTTAGACATCAAATCCTTACCATATTTGTTGTGAAAAATAAATTTAGAATGGACTTAGATTGCAGGAGTTTGCTTAATTTGTTTGTCTTAGAAACAAGTGAAGATTGCTAACTTCAAAAAAGTAGAATTAACCACGGCTGACTGGCTGCAGGCAAACTGTCCCATGAACCAGTCTATCAAGAGAGAACTAACCATGAAAAAAAAAATAGTATTGACAGGCCAGACTTGGAGGAGGAGAATACTAGTTATTGTGTATATCTAAAATAATAAAGCCCCAAGCTATGTAGACTTCTTGTAAGCCTGGATCTTGTCACTATGTGAGACTGGCTTCTTGTAGTATATCAGAATTGGTGAAGTCTTCCATCTCATTGTCTATTCCTTTATTTGTTCTTCATCTCGGGACCCTCCCAATTGACTTAACCAGAGGTAAGTTACAATAACATCTGTGTGCACTTCAGATTGGCTTCACAATACTAATCAGATATTGTCTGATAGCTCTGTGGAAGGCAGTTTAACCCCTCATGAAAAAGAGGGGCATACAACATTACAATAGAAAAAGCAATTAGGAAAAATGTGTAGGTCCTAGAGCTCATGAAACAAAAGTGCGTTCTCATAGGAGTCTAACTGTATTTCCTAAGATCATATAAAGGAAGGAGAGCTAACCTTTCTTTTCCTAAAAATGGTTTGGTTAAATAAAGGCAGCTCTATCCAGAAGTAGGCAAACACACCACTGACCAAGTCCCTAGAGCAGCGGTTCTCAACCTGTGGGTCGCGACCCCTTTGGCGGTCAAACGACCCTTTCACAGGGGTCGCGTAAGACCATCCTGCATATCAGATATTTACATTACGATTCATAACAGTAGCAACATTACAGTTATGAAGTAGCAACGAAAATAATTTTATGGTTGGGTCACAACATGAGGAACTGTGTTTAAAGGGCCAGAAGGTTGAGAATCACTGCCCTAGAGGAACATAAGCAGTTGTCAGAAGATCCAATGATACTCTTTTTCTTCAAATTATTCAACTAGTACCCACTTAGACTTTTTTTGTAGAAAAGAAATGTTTCTGCCTTTGATATTTTGCAGGAAACTTGACTTTTACAGGTGGCCCTGTGCTTTTACTCTGTCCGTCACCATTGCCCATGGTGGTACGGGCCAGCACGGCAGGCTTCTCACTGGGGCCATGCGGAGAGCTGGGTTAGAGTTCATTCCCTTAGCAGTAAGATGAGAACATTGCTTTTGGCCCAGAAAGGAGCTGGTGGTATATACCCAGGCCTCTTCTGAGTGTGGGCCACGCCATTCCCAGGAAGACACCATAGAACCTGCATCACTTGTGGTGAGCTCAGCCTTGTGCTAAGCCCAGACAGCTGCCGGTGTCTGTCCTCTGCACATGATAGTACCCGTACTTTGGAGCATGCAGGGGCTTTTTCAGGTCACCCAAAAGGCAAGGAGCTGAGGACTCCCTTTGGCTGGCCCCGTAAAGACTAGAGGAGGGCCCTAACCGGTTTGGCTCAGTGGATAGAGCGCCTGCGGACTGAAGGGTCCCAGGTTCGATTCTGGTCAAGGGCATGTACCTTGGTTGCAGGCACATTCCCAGTAGGGGGCGTGCAGGAGGCAGCTGATCGATGTTTCTCTCTCATTGATGTTTCTAACTCTCTATCCGTCTCCTTTCCTCTCTGTAAAAATTCAATAAAATATATATTTTTTTAAAAAAGACTAGAGGAGGGAGAAACAAAGGACCCTTATCTCTTTGGGTTTTGCCTCAAGCATCACTCCCTCTTTGACTGGAGGCAGGGAGGGGGCAGAAAACAAAACCATTATCATTTTCTTTTAGTCATTTGTTTTTCAATACATTTAAAAATTTTTAAGGGGATGTTGTCATTGACAATTGCAGCTTGGTTAGCTTGTTTGGAAAGTGCTGTCTTCTCTGACTTTTAATGCAAAATCTCTCTATTTTAGCTGGTTCTTCTCATTCCAAAAAGACTACGGGCTCCAAAGCATCAGCGTCACCATCTACTTCTTCTTCGTCTTTTCTCAAAACTTCAAAGGAGACAGTTTCTAGCAAAACTGGGACGGTGGGAACCACAAAGGGCAAGAAAAAAACTGGCAAGCGGCCCACGCCTCGGCCATCCTCAGATGCAACCACTGCTGGTACTTCCGACCTTAAAGGAAAGCCATCGGAGGCCAAGGTGGAGAGTCTCAAAACTGAGCCAGCGGGCCCTGAGACCGAGGAGCTGAGCACAGGCAAACCCAAGTCTGCGGTCCCTCCACCGCCTGTGACCCCTCCCCCTCCTCCCCCGGACCCCCATCTTGTTCTGGAGGAACAGTGCGTTTTTGCTGCAGACACTCCTATTGTCCTGGTCAGCAATGGAGATGACGTGCCCGTCCCTACCTTAGACGCGAGTCAGCTTCTCTGGACTGAAGAGCCGACAAACACAACCACTGTCCACTCAGGCACTGGCTTCAGTGTTAGCAGAGAAAATGCAAAATGGTAAGTCGGGTCCCCAACCCCATATTCCCTCTGCGTTCCCCGAAGCTGAGTACTAAAGATCACTAAACCATTCTACTGGAAACAAGGGAACTACTTTGTTTTCTTTTATAATTTAATCTAGTGACTGTTAGACCAACACATGTCATCCAGCCATTGGTTTTGCATAGCCCTGTCGCAGGAAGGCCACGGGCTGGGCACAGTGACATGGGCCTTTCACGTACATTTAGAGCTGCTTCCTCACTCCTCAGCAGTCCTTTCTTTTCCCTAAGCTGTTCCCTTCTCTTTCCTTGCAGTGGTTAAGTCTTTACCACTTGTCTAGGTTGCTCATCCACTCCTGCCTACCTTCATTTCAACAAGTTATTTAGCCGTCTCCTTCTCTAGGAAAATAAAAGCCATCAGGAAAGAACTCTGTCAAATTCCAACTCCTTTTCCTCCAACGTCAGAGCGGCTCTGCTTCTTGCTTCTTTAACTCCCCACCCAACTAAATGTTATCTCCTCTGTGGAGCCTTTCGGTGCTCATCCAGACAGATTTGGTTATTGCATCTACTCTGACAATGCTTTTCCTAACTGGGACAGAACTAACCAACACATGTCTTATTGACCTCAGTATCCCAGCAACCAGTGCAGAAGCTGGTATGCCACAGGCATGCCATCATCTAGTTGCCTAAGCCACGAACCTGGAATTCATCCTAGGGTCCTCCTCCTCCTCTGTTCACTGCATTATTCACAGAGTCCTGTACATATTCTACTTAAAGGTAAATGAGCCATGTTAGCTGTCCTGACACACAGGCTGCCAGATTATAGTGGACACCAACTCTGTCTAGGGAAGGCTTAGACCTCGTAAATCCAGCCTCTTTTCTATTGTTTTAAGACAACGGGGGGATGGGAGCATGAGTTTGTGTGTGGGGGGGAGGTTGGGGGTTAATGGGGGGGATGAGGACACATTTGTAATACCTTAACTAATAATAAAAAATAAAAAAAAAGTAACTAAATTTCCCAAAATGCAAAAAAAAAAGAGAATAAAACCAAATTCACTCTTCAAATCACTTAATATTTCCTTTTTCAAAAAAATCTTAATCATGTTTTAAAACATTGATTTGAATCAATAGACTAAAATATTAACTTGATTCAATGACTGATGATAACCTTCATTGGTTGAATACCTATTACTGTCAGGAACAGTCAGTTATTTAGTTCACACAAGCTTCCCTGAAATATTTCTGTTTAATAGGTGAGAAAACTGACACTGAGAGAAGTAAAATAGTTTTCCACGATTACCCAGGTAGTCAGTGGCAGAGCTGGGTAGACCCAGGATTGTACAACACATTCCATGCCCTAAGTATTTTATAAGTTTCCAAAGTAGTTGCTTCCACTTCTCCTGCTTTTTTTTATGTGTTCATTCTTGATTTTTATTTGTTTGTTTTTTAATATATTTTATTGATTTTTTTACAGAGAGGAAAGGAGAGGAATAGAGAGTTAGAAACATCAATGAGATGCCCTATCTGGTTTGGCTCAGTGGATAGAGCTTCGGCCTGCAGATTGAAGGGTCCTGGGTTCAATTCCGGTTAAGGGCACTTACCCAGGTTGCGGGCTCAGTCCCCAGTAGGGAGGCAGCCAATCAATGATTCTCTCTCATCATTGATGTTTCTATTTCTCTATCCCTCTCCCTTCCTCTCTGAAATCAATAAAAATATATATATTTAAAAAGAAAAAAAAAACATTGATGAGAGAGAAGCATCGATCAGCTGCCTCCTGCACAACCCCTACTGGGGATGTTCCCGCAACCAAGGTACATGCCCTTGACCGGAATCGAACCTGGGACCCTTCAGTCTGCAGGCCAATGCTCTATCCACTGAGCCAAACCGGCCAGGGATTTTTTGTTTATTTGTTTGTTTTGCTCTTTTTTGTTTTATCATCTTGAGCACCATCATTCAAAGGAAAGCCAAGGAATGATAAATAAAGGTTAATTACTTTCTTTGTTTGACATGCTAATAAATGCTATGGGAACAGAAGATGTTGAGATGAGTAGTTATGGTATCCCTAATACTTCCAGCACTTAGCAAATGTCTTTATTTATAGTGAGTGTTTTCCAGCATCAATTCCAACCTTTAGACCTACACAGTCCTTCTTTCAGCATGTGTTTTCGCTTGCCTTCTGTGTGCTGGGCAGTGTACCAAGCACCAAAGATACAAAAGTGAGCAAGACATTATAATTAACTCTACTTCTTACCAAAATGATATCCAACATGGCCAGGAAGTTTAAGATAGGCCTGTACTTAGGGACGTAGATTGAATATATGCGTTTATTTTTCAATACAAGGTGCAACCTATAAAGTGATTCCGTAAGTGGTCTTCAGACTGAGAGGGCCCGTATCCAAAGGTGATCTGACTGTCCAGCTCACTTCCACAAACACTTAGGGAGGACACTGTGTTGTGCGAAGCGCCATGCTGCATGCTGGGGGCGATGTCAGTCTTCAGCCAAGAGCTCGCAGGACTGTCAGACGAGAGCGCTGAGCATCTGCTCTCCATTTCCACTGGGACTGTGATCAGACAGAGTGAGCTTAGGACATAATGAGCCATCGGAGTTTGCATAATAGGCTTTCCTGTCACTCAGGGCAACTACCCTGCTTTCCTAGAAGAGAGCAGAGGGATTTTTCTTCCTATATTCTTCAAAATAACGTTAAATTACAGCTCATCCCGCAGGGATGGTTTGCGTTGCTCTCGAGTTAATGAGCCTGAAATAAGTAGTCTCCCAAATTTCCTTCCAAATTCTTTCTTCTGTTTTTAAGCGGATATTGGAATTTGAATTTCTGGCTCTTAGTCACTTGCTTTACTTAGAACTCTCCCCCAGTTATGTTTAGTCAACGAATGTGTGAAATCCTGTCGTCTTATGAAGGGGCTTCTGTTTGGAATACAAATATCAGAACTTTAAAGAAGACAAGCGGCCATGTGTAAAAATACCTACCTCTGTTCACACATTGCAGGGTGGTAACTGTTTGGTAGATTTCCCTTCACTGGCAGCTTCGCCAGTACCGTGGATGTCTGGTATAACTGAAGGCAGAAACCAATAAGCCCATCTGGAGCCCATATTCAAAAGGGACTTGAATTTGTTTAGTCCATTTCCACAAACATTCACGGAGTGCACTGTGTTATCTAATGTGCCCAGGAGATTCTGAGAAATATAAAAGCCAAATCATGAGTTGACTGATGTAAAATTGGAGTATAATATTTAACATTAAATGTAAACAATAATATAACTTATAACCCATTATAACTTATAATACTAAGCATAAATAAAATATCATATAGCATAACATTTAATAGGTAGACCAGGAGACTGAAGTCTGGGTTCTAGACTGGACTTGCTTCCATGGTTGGGCAATTCGCTCATGGCTCTCCTGGGTTCCATGAACTATAAATTATCTGCCCTCCTTATGCTATAGAACAGTTGTAAGTTATAAATGTATTGCAGAAGTCTTTGCAAACTATAAAACATTGTAAAATACAAGGGAGGTTAAAATAGTAATCGATAACATAAATTAATGAATGAACGAATACCAGGGCTTAATCCTGAAGTATCTTGTTTTGCTCTTCAGAATGCGTTATTAATTGGCAAATCTTTTAAATGGGTTGTGGTCACCCACAGTTGCAAACAAGAATGGCCTCCAGTGGCAACCAACTAGAAATCCAGACTACGGAAAAGCTTACCCATAAAATAGATCTTCTCTCATTTAAAATGAGATTTCACACTGTGGAAACAGTATGGTGGTTCCTCAAAAGATTAAACATAAACTTGCCATGTGGTCCTGTAATTCTTTTTCTGTATATATTGCCAAGAGAATTGAAAGCAAGTACTCAAACGATACTTGTACACCGAGATTCACAGCAGCATTATTCACAATAACCAAAAGGTAAAGACAACCCAAATGTTTGTCAGCTGATGAATGGATAAGCAAAATGTGGCATATACATACAATGGTATATGATTCAACCTTAAAAAAGGAAGGAAATTTTGACATATGCTACCAAATGGATAAACCTTAAAGACATACTAACTGAAGTAGGTCGGACACAAAAGGACACATGTATAATTTCAATTATATGAAGCACCTAGAATAGTAAATTTCATAAAGACAGGAAGTAGAATGGTAGCTGCCAGGGCTGAGAGGGACAATAGGAAGTTATTATTTAATGGGTACAGAGTTTCCGTTTGGGAAGATGAAAAAGTTCTGGAGATAGATGGTGGTGATGGTTTTACACAATGTCGATATACTTAATGCAACTGAACTGTGCACTTAAAAATGGGTAAAATGTTAAATTTTATGCCATGTACATTTTTTTCTTTATTGATTAAGGTATTTATCCCCCCATTCCCCCCACTCATGCCTTCACTCCCCTGTTGCCTGTGTCCATTGGTTAGGCTTATATATATTCATACAAGTCCTTTGGTTGATCTCTCCTCCTTACCTCCACCTTCCCCTACCTTCCCTCTGAGGTTTGACGGTCTGATTGTTGCTTCTCTGTGTCTGTTTTTGTTCATCAGTTTATGTTGTTCATTATATTCCACAAATGAGTGAGATCATGTGATATTTATCTTTCTCTGACTGGCTTATTTCACTTAGCATCATGCTCTCCAGTTCCATCCGTGCTGTTGCAAAAGGCAAGAGTTCCTTCTTTTTTACCGCAGCATAGTATTCCATTGTGTATATGTACCACAGTTTTTTAATCCACTCATCTGCTGATGGGCACTTAGGCTGTTTCCAAATCTTAGCTATGGTGAATTGTGCCACTATGAACATAGGAGTGCATATATCCTTTCTGATTGGTGTTTCTAGTTTCTTGGGATATATTCTTAGAAGTGGGATCACTGGGCCAAATGGGAATTCCATTTTTAGGTTTTTGAGGAAACTCCATACTGTTCTCCACAGTCTGCATTCCCACCAGCAGTGCACGAGGGTTCCTTTTTCTCTGAATCCTCGCCAGCACTTGTCGTTCATTGATTTGTTGATCATAGCCATTCTGACAGATGTGAGATGGTACTGCGTTGTCGCCATCTACATTTTATACAATAAAAATGAAATTTTCTATTTCCCCCTTTGAAAACAAGTATTCTGGCTGTTGGATTTTTCTAATATGTGAAAAATAGAGACTTTTGAAAGCATCTAGGCTTGTAACTCCCCAAAATTTTCAACACCTCCGACTCTGACAAAGTTTACTTGTTTTTATTATACAAAGAACTAGTTTTGGCTTTTTTTAGTTAGTGAGAATAACAAGCACATGTTTTCCACTACACGGCCTTTCAGAAGTGTGACATCTAAATTTGGATTCTTCTGTTTATATCAGAAAGCAATTTGAGGATCTTCTGTATCTTAAAATGAAGATTATATTGTTTTCTATATAATTTTTATGTAAAGTATATATTTTTTATTCTAGTCTATGAAAATTTAAAAGCATTTCACATTTATAGTAACTATTTTATTTTTTAATTATATTGACATCCAGTATTATATTAGTTTCAGGTGTATAGCATAGTGGTTAGACAATCATACTTGACAAAGTGGTCCCCCATATTTCAAGTAACCATGCGTAGTTATTACAATGTTATTGACTATATTCCCTGTGCTGTACTCTACATCCCTGTGAGTATTTGTAGCTACCAGTTTGTACTTCTTAAGCCCTTACCTTTTTCACAGAGCCTCCCTACCCTCCTCCTTTCTGGCAACCCTCAGTTTGTTCTGTGTCTACGCATCTGTTTCTGTTTTGTTTGTTCATTTGTGTTTGGGGTTTCTTTTTAGATTCCACATATAAGTGAAATCATATGGTATCTTTTGACTTATTTCACTTGGCATAATACCCCCTCAATCATGTCAATCTCAAAGACTAACACGAGCCAAATAACTGAGGCATGCGGCCTGCGGGCCATGAGTTTGACATGCTTTCTCTAGGTCCATGCCTGTTATTGCAAATAGTAAGAATTCATTCTTGTTTATGCCTGAGTAATATTCCATTGTACATATGCACTTTAAACCAGATACTCTTTCCAAGCTCAATAATAGAAAAAGCTTACATCCTTAGACATAAATTTTTTCTAAAAAGTCCACTGAACTTCCACACATTCTATCTTATGTTGTTAATATAGTCTTAAGACAGGCAGGTTTACAAATGAAGAAGCTAAGCACAGAGAGAAAAAGTACTAAGTCAGGTATTCTGGAGCTCCTAGTCTATTGTTCTTTCCACTGAACCCCCATTGCTATGGAAAAATTATTTTGCAAAATATAGTTTTACTATATTCATATACTAACTATATCAGACACCAGCTAGTCTATCCTTCCCATTTTACAGATGAAGAATCTAAAACTTGGAGGATTAAGTAATGCATACTGGTCTTCCATTTCAGTGACTTTGCTGGCCTGTGTCTGCTTTTTCCTGCACCAGCCTGAAGGATGCTCACACAACAAGCACTCCTTCTCATGGTGTTGGGGTGTCTCCGAGGGTTGCTCTGAGCTTTATACCACCCCTGTGTTTCTGTGCCTTTGACAGTTTCACAACCAAAGACGAGCTGGGAAAGGCAGCACCTCAGCTACTGGCTCCTGGGCTGATGGGAGAATCTTCCGAATCCTTCAGTGCCCAGGAGGATGAAAGCCAAAGGGAGTACCGGGCCACTGACTCGGACTCTGATGGGCCGATCTTGTACACTGACGATGACGATGAAGAGGATGAAGATGAGGACGGCAGTGGAGACAGTAAGACTTTTTCTCAGGAGGTAGAGAGGGAGAAAGGTGGTGGGCAGAAGCCATGGCGTTTTATAAAGAACAGAAGCCTCACCAAAAATCAAACATCTGAATTTCTCTTTCCCCTCATATTCCTTTCTCAAATTAGAACTGTGTATATCCTGAGGTTTAGCTTCTGATGACAGGCCTTTCCAAAAGATGGTTCCATGCGGGGTGGGCAGTAGGGCGTAGATAGGCACATTCGTATTTGTCCCAAGAGTCAAAGCTTCCTGAGGATGGAGGCGGTTCTCAGGATGGTCAAAGTCAGCCCTTCCCTGGGACCTTTGTTGAATAAAGAGCATCCGTGCAGGATTCCCTGGATTACTCATGGGAAACGTTTGAGAATTTCACTTATTTTCTTATGCTGCAGTTTAAGGAGAAGGGAGGGAGAAATGAGTCAAAAATGACACATTCCTCTTAAGAATTAAAAACAATCACTCATCCATGGTAAGATTGTATGCCTTCTAGGAAAGAATGCTAGTAAAGTAGCGAAAGCCAACCATTGATATGTAAATGAGGGAACTGGAAAGTGCTATTTTTTAAATTTTTCTTAAGCAGGATGACTTAGGAGGGATTCCTGGGTTAAATTTATAGATTTTGAAAAGTTATTAGCATATTTATGATTAAACATCAGTTTGTCAAATTTCTTTCCATTTGTTTCGAACAACAACAAACATTATCATCCAGCTGGTATTAACTATCATCTGTGGAGATGTCAGGGATCTCTGGGGTACTTTAGGATTAAAACTTTAGTATAAACATGGACTTTTGCCAGAGTGGTTTCTGCGTGGAGAAAGAGGGAAGACAGGGATTTCCTGAACAGTATACTAAAGGGGCTAAGTATTTGGACTTGAGAAAGAGAAGGCATTATGCAATCAGTAGTTTCCATGATTCGCCATCTCAGCAAAATAAACTTCAAATATCACTTTCCAAATGATGAGGTGATACTTCCAAGTTTTTCATGGTGCCCCAACATTCTTCTGAACATTTTTAAAAATAGCTCTCCAGTTTTTCAAAATGAACTCATCCAACTAAAAAGGCCCTCCTCCCCACCCCAAGGCTAATTAAAATTCCCCTCCTGCATGTGGACATAGAATTTGTTCTGGACTCAGTTTGAAGTCCATGCCCCCTGTAACCTGAATGGCGCCGGTTAAAAGGCTCCTTTTCTGCATTTCTGCCCTTTCTAATCCTCAGGTGCTTTGGCAAGTAAAATCCGACGAAGGGATACTCTTGCTATCAAACTGGGCAACAGACCGTCCAAAAAAGAATTAGAGGACAAGAACATCTTGCAGCGGACATCTGAAGAAGAGAGGCAGGAAATTCGACAGCAAATTGGAACCAAGCTAGTCAGGTAACGGCTGAAATTTTAGTACAGCACCAACGAACACATACTTTCCCCCTCCTGTGGTTTCCAACCTGAGGTCATTGTGAATGGCTTGTATAAGGGCACACCTGGCCTACCTGGTCTTTTAAAGTTGGTGCTGGATGGTGAAGCATTCAAAGAACCTGTGCTTCGGTCCAGACGGTCAGTGGCTTTGAGGTTGCCAAAGCCTGACCCAAATGTTGACAGACTTTTTCTATAAAGGACCAGTTCGTAAATAGTGTAGGCTTTGCTGGCCAGAAGGTCTCTGTTGCAGCTGCTCAGCAAGAGCAGCCATAAACAATACATAAACACACGAGTGTTCCACTGCAGTGTTATTCATCGAAACAGGAGGCAGCCTCGTCCACGGACTCACGAGCTTCCTGGGATTTCCAGGCGGCTCTGTCCTGCGGGCTATGAGACTGTGGAAACAGTAGTTAGTGGCAACGGTCAGCTCCATCCGGGTCAGGTAACCACGGCCCCGATGGCAGAAGTTCCCTCTTTTAACTTCAAATAAAAGATCATCTGACTTCTCTTCCTGCGTCCAGCTCTTGGTGATTTTTATTTTTGCCACTAGTGACACTGGAAGTCCATTGAACTGGCAGTTTTAATAGAAATGAATGCTGAAGCTCTCATTTTTATTAGCAGCTTAAGTGTCGGTTATTTTTCTGACTTCTCCCACCCTGCGTACACCACAAGGTGCATTAGCCGGGGGGAGGGAACAGTCTGTGAGACAGAGCAGGATCTGTCAGTGCTGCGTAGGGGCAAAGAACCAGGAGCCTTTAGTTCTCACTGTCAGGAGAATCCGGACACCCACCATCAAGGCACTGTATTAATCGTTTATAAGATATCAGTAGTTGGAGAAAAAGAAAAGGGAGGAAACTCCATAAATAAAGGAAGGATGATGTGTTTGGGGGATGACGTAGTAGGGATATGTCGCACAGGATACATGGGTACACGGATGGCACAACTTCGGGCTGGCATAGATGGTCAGTGGTTTTTTTGTGGGCTCACAATTAAGTTAATTTCAAGGGAGCTCTGATGGAGATTAAACTTTAACAAAAGTTTTAATGAGCTATTTAAAATATTATTGATTTCAATAATTTCTGTCACAGCCATAAAAACTTAGCATTGGTAGTATCTATATTAAAATTTACCTTTCATGGATATTAATTTGCACACACTCAGCCTACATCCAGAGGAAGTTTTTGTCTGTGATTAACAACAAATTAACAACGTAAACAAGACCAAGAACAAAGTTCGAAAGGGTTCACAGGACATTCAGCTCTTGTGTACAACGAGTTAGCCCAGGGGTGGGCAAACTTTTTGACTCGAGGGCCACAATGGGTTCTTAAACTGGACCGGAGGGCCGAAACAAAAGCATGGATGGAGTGTTTGTGTGAACTAATATAAATTCAAAGTAAACATCATTACATAAAAGGGTACGGTCTTTTTTTTTTTTTAGTTTTATTCATTTCAAACGGCCGGATCCGGCCCGCAGGCCGTAGTTTGCCCACGGCTGAGTTAGCCACTAATCACAAGTGAGCCTGGCTTGTCTTGAAGGCAAACGGGAAGGGCCTACGTATCTCAAGAGAACTGTATACATTTGAAATTCATTGAGGTCACAAAAGCAGTATTTCCCTTAAAACACTATGAAGTGTAGATTGATCATCTCCCAAGTTGAAATGAACTCTCAAGCGGCAGCCTTTTTTAGATCCAAATGACTGTGTATGAATTAGGGAAAAGGCTAAGCTGCTTTAACAGAGACCAACATATGCAGTGGTCCAAACATTTCCACATGTTTATATCTTTTTCACGTAACTGTCCAGCACGGAGGGGGGGTGGGGGGGGTTGGGGGGGTGGGGGGGGGGCATTGCTCCTTGCAGTCAGCCAGGTACGCAGGTTCCTTCTGTCTTGTTGCTCTTCCTTCTCCATGGGTATTCCATCTACATGATCCCAGCTGACTCACTGACCATGTTTAAGTGGAAGAAGGAAAGGCAGAGAAGGGAAAAAGCAGAAACTACAAACACCATTTCTGCTCACATCCCATTGCAAGAACTTGGTCACAGAGCCACACCGTGCTGCTCGGGTGACAGAAAGCTGCCGCTGGGGGAGATGGGGAAATATGGGGTTATAGTCAAAGCTCAAGGAGTTCTGTTTCTGAAAGGAAGAGAGAGAACGAGTAATGGGGCTTAGCTAGCAGTCTCGGCCACAATCGCTAGACTCCAAACTAACAGAAAGGACACTTTTATGGGTTTAAAAGTTAATTTCTGTTTCTCAAAACAGGAAAAACATAGCTTTGTTTGTTGTTTTATTTTGTTTCTCACTAAGGGGGCCTTGTTTGTAACTTGCAGTATATCTTTTTTATCATCATAGGAGACTTAGCCAGAGGCCCACAACTGAAGAATTAGAGCAAAGAAACATCCTAAAACGTGAGTACCCTGCACTGTATAGTGATTCCTTGTCTAACCATTAACAAGCTCCCTCTAGAGATGATTCATTTATCAATAGGAAACCATAGTATATTTATTCATAAAAGGTTGAAATGGCCCATTCATATCACATTTATGTGTCATCATGTATATAACTTAAAAAATAATTTCTTGACATTTGTATTTCATTTTATGGCTTTGAGCCTGATATCCCCCAGACCAGAGTCACGGTTGTGACAGTTGTTTTTAAGATGGAATATATTCCATGTATTCTTTCACCCAACTATTAAATAAAAGAAAATGCTCTAGTCTGCTTGCAAACATGTACATTTCGAAGAAAAGGCAAGAAAATCCACAAGGAAATGAATCAAGCATTCCTATATTATTCTTAATAATACAATTTGTTGCCAGGTTTAACAAATGACTCGATTTAAAACAGACTCATGGTCAAAGCAATTTTTCAATCTATTTCATTTCAATCCATTTCATTTTCCTTTGTTATGATAACTCTGTTTCCCTCTTGAGTTATTTATAATTTCTCAGCACTTACCGAGTTTTCCATTCATTTTCCAATTTTTTTTCTCAATTTATTTTTTTCTTTATTTTTTTTGACTTGACTTTTCACTCACCGATCCAGTCATATTTAAATTATTACAGCTCATATGCTAAAGCTATAAGACGAATGGAAGCAGTTTGTCGTGCTACAGTGTATTAATGTGGTTACTAACTACAGTAAGTTAAGTAATGGATATTTTTAAATTCAGCCACTGCCGTTTTATATGTCATTAACCCAGCTTCAAAAGAGCTTTTTGTTGTATGAAATATCAAAAAGCAGGGATGGGCCAAACCCCAGATAGTACTACAGTAGTAACGAGCCACTGGCATGCGCTGAATGTTTTTACCTAGGTTTTAGGGTCAAGTTGGCCTATCTCGACCATCCCCATTCTCCAACCTGAATCATTTTCTTTTCTGAGGGAAAGAAGGGTTTTAATAGCACGAGGACTGAAAAGGGAGAGGAATTGCCAGTCTATGGGATTTTTTTCCCTTGGAATTTTTTTTTTCCTTTTTTTTTTTTCTGGCTCTTTGTGAGGATAACTGGGATAGAATTCAAGAAAGGACTTAAGCAACCATCAATGTATACAAGAGCCAGTTTGGAGAGGGAAAAAGTCATGGCTAGAAAAGAAAAAAAAATGGTAGGTCTTAGCTTTCTAAAATAGGATGGCAACAACATCTAATTTTGACAACAAAACCAAACCAAAAAGGCCCCCGGCTTTTGATAACAGGTTCCCGGAAAATATCTGAATTAACTTTTAGGTAAGCTCAAATGCAGATCATGAGCTCCTAACACACAGATTATTTCTTATTGGATGCCTGATGCAATACCTAGAAAAAAAGGAAGAGCGAATTCTGGGTAATTTGTTCCTGCTCCTGTGAGATAAATAGTGCCAGACCACATTGGTGTTTGGTTGTTTGAGGAACTGTGGGATAGATCTGGAAATTTATCGCACATCGATCTTAAGTGCTGTGTTGGCTTTTATCCCCCATTTTCCTGGAGGTTCGGGGAAGAGTGAAATGCCAAAGTCAACTTCAGGCTTGACTTCAGCCCTTATTTACTTCCTTTTCGGTTTGTTTAAGCATGCTTTTTCTGGAAACAAAAGACACATTTGCAGTCTGGAGAGGCAGATAACTGGCCGGTGGTCTCCTGACATAATATTGTACGGCCAAGGGAAGCAGAAAAGAGAACTGGCGGACATCATCCAGAGCGTACATATGACACGTTATTCCGCCCCTGCTGGCTTCTCAGTTCTTCCACGTAGATGGCTCTTGTTTGTTTATATCTTTCGTCTCCAGCGTTGGGTCAAGAGCAGTATGATTGTCTATTTGGAGAAAAGTCTGTGTGTGACATGGTGTGGTGTTTAAGGACATTTATTAACTAGGTCACTTTTTTCTTGACAAATTAGAGAATGAATTCACAGAATAAAACATTCAGCGGTTCTCAAATCCAAGTCCATCACTAAACCTGAACCAGATGACCATGCTGACAGCTCTATTTGGAACACAGGACAAATTTTATTTCTCAGTTTCATTCCCAGTATTGCAATCTGTTTTATTTCTTTCCCATTTTAGTGCATCTAGCATTTAAAAATACATATAAAGCTATATTTAGTTGTACATTTTAGAACCAGTTCCTTAAAACTGTTAAAATAGAAAGCACGTTTTGGTGCTTAAAAGATCAACTTTTGCTCAGCAGGAACATTGATATATATGGCACACCTTTTTCAGGGCAGGGATAAAAGATAAAAGTCCACAAACTATTTTAGCTGTGACCATTATTCCAGCTGTGTCTTCTATAGGGGAAAAATGTACTGGGCCATTGAGTTCTGCATGTAACATTTTCTATGAAATTTTTTAATCCTACAGAAAAGTTGAAAGAATTTTACAGTAAATACCTATATGTCTACCATCTATATTCTACCATTAATATCTACTTTATCATATCTTGCTTTATCACATATCTGCCCATCTATTGATCAATCTCTTTTTTGGGGCGGGGAGATGCATTTCAAGTATGTTTATAAATGTATTTCCATTTGCTAAAAACACCCATACAGAAACATGTAAAACAATAAAAAGAGAAAGAAACCCACAAAAATGTTTGGCTTTTTAAAATCCCATTTTATCTGAATTGATGACTCAAGAATATAATACTCCAGTCACTGGTATTTCCGTGTTTCTCTTTGTTCTTTTAGCTCGTCCACAAAATGCTCTGGGCAGCACTCCCTAACTAGGCAGCTTTCCTGTAGTGCACTCCCACCCCCACCCCCCAAACCTCCTGTATTGCTTGTGTGTTTATGGCAAATACTTCCTGTGGCTATTCTGAAATATCCGCCCCTCTCTGCTCTGATGAGAGTTACTGAGGGCAAGATTTGTCAATGAGCCACGTCACTTCCTTCATGAATGTTCCTCCAGTCTGTTTCAAATGACCTGCAAGGTTTATATCCTACTTTATAATTACCCTCTAATAAATCTAAAAGAAAAGGAGGAAACATTAAAAAAAAACTTCAGTCAGTTTTTTAAAACAAAGTTTAAGATTTAATCTTGACTCTTTGTAAGAGATTTTTACAGTAACTATTTTAATAAGATTCACCTCTAAAACCCTCTTCCTCTAACTTCATTAGAAGCATTAATTTCAAATATGGGGACTGTAAGAAAGCCAGCTCCTGATGTTAAAAAAGAATTCCCAAATGGAAAAATCATGTTTATTTAACTCCCTAACTGCAATTGACCCTTCTTCTTCTTCTTCTTCTTTTTTGAAACTTAACTGACTGCCACGTAGATATACAATATGCCTATTTAATAAGGCAAAATTATCTAATATTCCCTTCAAAGATACGACATTTTGTGTATTTCATGAAAATTGGAGCATGAGTTTTGAGTTGTATTAGATACCCAATTTTTTGTCTTTGAAAAGTACCTTTAAAAACATAGCATAATCACTGTATAGGAAGAACTGAAATGTTTAAGGGTTATATTTTTCTTTTTACTAATAATATCATCGGAGGCCTAATCTTGTAAAACCCTAGTTTGAATAGCATGAACTGTAAGTTTGGGGTTTGGATTATATAATCCATATGCCTTATGCACCTCACAAAAGGTAATTATTTGACCCTAAGGATGTATTTTAAGAATACCTACAGTAACTTCATGGGAAGAAATCTGAATTATAACCAAATTTGTTTGACACTCAATAAAAATATACTACCAGTAACTAGTTGTTTCCTATTCTGCAGGGTGATTTCAGTTTATGTTCACTCTATCTGAAAGGCAGACTAATCATTCTTTCTTACCAATTAAAATTAGTGTTTCAGAAGCCTGTAGAAACTTTTCCCTATTAATAAGGAAAATTAATAGAGATTTAGCATGTTCAACTAACAAATTAAGATGTTGCAAATATTGAATGCTAAATTTTATTAATGACAAAAATAAATTTAGTGGTAAGTCTGTTTGAATTTAAAAATCTAATTATTTTTTCAGAGAGGAGACTTTTTGTTCACCATTATAGTTGAGCTTTTATATAGTGTGATTTTTCCTTCAGTAGACTTCATAACAGCACTTTCTAAAAAGAATATTTTATAAGTATTAATACTCAGTAAGCAAAATCTGTGCTTATTTATTGAACAAATGATGAGCTACAGGAAGCTATGGAGAGAAATTCATCAAATAAGCAACCATTAAAACCTGAAGGGATGTTTATTTCTTTAAAGTTCTGGACATTTTTCTCTTAATCCCATCTGTTGGACAGCATTCATTTAGGTTGGCCATTAAATTGTACTACTTGGTAAAGTACTAGAGGAAGAGGAGACGTTGGAAAGTCACAGTCATGAGAAAATAAATCATCTCCACAACAGTACACCATAACCCCATTCAGAACATTCTGGTTCAAAAGCAGAGCCCAAAGAAATGCTTACATTCTGCTTCTATGGAAACCAAAACAGACAGATCAACTATTTTGGTTGGATTTGAATGGAAATCAGCAACTCAGACATACATCAGATGGTTCTAATTTGTTATTTTGATATGTCTCAGATTTTCACATGGAGGCCAGATCCAGCAGTAAATTTTTCCCTGAATTCTGATCATCTATGCTTGTAAGCCCATGAGATGATCAGCAATGAAAGACTTTCACCAGAATATGGGAACTCTTGTGGGGTTTTTTTTTGTTTTCAGAATATAACAGGAAGTCTGGAAGCAGAAAAGGTTTACAATTAATAAATAGGTCAGTCATAGAAGGAAAAAAATATTATTTGTATGTATGTATGTATGTATGTACTAGTATACATATATAAAGCAATATAATTATATATATAACTTAATGGTTGATCTTTCTGCAAAGTATTTTCACAACTTTTTAAAGATGTTGGAATGTTTCATCAATATCTGTTAAAATCAAATAATTGTGGCCTGATCTACTTTTCTGATTATAAAATCACTTATAATAACTAAGTCTTCATGTCTTCCCTTCCATTAATAAGCAGAAAAGAATGAAGAGGAAGAACAAGAAGCAAAAATGGAACTTAAACGCAGACTCAGCAGAAAGGTGATGAAACTACAACTGTTAATGATTGTATGTGTTCTGAGATATAGTTCCTTTTTTAAATGCAAATCAACTCTTCACATGTAAATCTTGATATTTAGGGATAATTATTCCTGTTAGTCTACTAACTGATCATAGGCATTAAAATCAATGTAATGAATACAGTATAAATTATCTTTATATTTATAATTGCATATGTTAATTAAACTTTTAAAGTGCATTAGGTGATTATGAAAATAACATGTAATCGGTGTAAGAATTTTTTTAAATGCAAAAGGGAATAAAAGAAAAAAGTCATAGAAACTTCTTCCATTTAAAGATAACCTTTATTAACATTTCAATGTTTAGTTTTTAAGAATGCTTACACTTTCCATGTAGTCTTGGAAATATTAAATAAATATTTTTTTTGCTACTGAAGATTTGCCATTATTCCGTATCTGAGCTGGGTGACTAATTTTTTAAGTGAACTTGATCATCCAGGCTGCCTACTATAGTGCTACCCAAATTGACAAACAGCTTACCTCAGGCAATTGTTTCCACCATTTATGAAAATATAAATGTGATGCCAGAGCTATCACTTTTTCCTGTGTTAAAATAATAACAGGCTTTGGAAAAATTAAGTTCTATAAGCACTTGTATTTCATTGTACATCTTTGTCTGGTAATTGTTCAGGTATACCTTCACACCTGGACAAGGCAGGATGAGTAAAGCATGACACCTGCAGTGAAGTGTGTGGTCTGCCCACATTTACCTGGGCTGGCTGGGGAGTCCGAGACAGGTAGAAGAAACAGTCCATTCCCATGGAAAAGTAGAGACTGTACTTTGAGAGGTTTTGGTTTTGATTTTTAGAGGAGAAGATCCTTTATTCATCTATCTTTTTTTTCCCCTCAAAGACACTAATAGTTAAACAATGATCAAGCTGAGAAAGACTCTGTAAACTGAATTTTAGAGCTGTCTCTTCTGGTGTTCAGGGCTAAGTTCCAGCTTTAGATAAGAAGTAGCCCTTCCTCATAGCTCCACACTCACCCCGACATGCATATAATCTTCTCAGCCAGGTGGGTTCTTCCAGGAGGCAGCAGAGCCTGCCCTTAACTCCTGTCCCCACTTGCCTCCTCTATGCAGAGCTCCCTGCCATAGGTGCAGAACAGTTCATACCACTAACAACGACCCTGTCACTGGCACAATCCTGAAGGGCAAGACTGGATGGAGCCTGGCAGGTGTTGCTCAGTGGATGAATGTCAACCTATGAACCAGGAGGTCACGGTTAGATTCTCAGTCAGGGCACATGCCTGGGAGCTTGATCCCCAGTAGGGGGCATGCAGGAGAGTCAATGATTCTTTCTCATTATTAATGTTTCTATCTCTCCCCCCCCCCCCCCGCCCCCCTTACTCTCTCTGAAATAAATAAAAACATATTTTTTAAGACTGGATGGAGAATTTCTGACCTGTGTGGCCCTTGGTCACTTGCCTTTTGGGCGTTCCCCAGAGGCAAGGGTTTCTCTACCTCCTTAACCCCACCAGTCCTGGAAAGGTAGTAAGAATCTAACAATAGAAATCAGACAGTAACTGAACTGCTTAGATTATACCTTCCTTTGTCCAGTGCCCACCAGGACTTCATGAACCTAGAAGGAACTGCAGTTTTCATGTCCCAGCTCATGTGCGCTCAGGGTGTAGGCCCAGGCCTTCTAAGAGTCTTTGAATGTCTTGAAGGTTAGAGCACTGACTGAGCCCAACCTCTGGTTTTACTCAAAAGAAAACCACGGCCCCAAAATGGGGATGTTTTTAACCACAAAAACATTTTTTTGTGATTGTACTTACTTTTTCCAAACATTGAGCCTATGTAAATAAGGAACACTTCCACAGAGGACTACTTAGACTGTGGAAAGTCTGGCTAATACAGGGTATGTATATATGGAGAGAAAAGATGCTGAATATGGATCCTGAGTAAAACAGAAGCCTGGGTCTACCTGTGTCACAATACTAGGACATCTCCCACTGAGAAAGGCCACAGAAGCAGGAACCTCAGTAGCAGAGAGTAGTGATGCCTGTCGACCAGGGGGCCGTGTTTCTTTAGTCTCAGAACCATCTCTGCTTTATTCTCAAGCTTGAGAAAGAGCCGAGAGAGGAAAGCAAATACCACAGGGCTGGGTAGATTAAATATAACTATAAATTCCAATTTGACAAAGACCATAGGAGGAATCCACGTTATTAGACGTGTCTTGAAGGTTGCAGCTGATTCTAAGTAGTTAGGGCCCCACTGAAGTGCAGTTCTCCAGAAGGCCCCCCTCCTACATGTCAGCTTTTGTGGCCAAGAGTAAATGTCAAGCATGGGCCTGGGTCCTTAGCCTTTCGTGGAAGAAGTCCATGGACACACCCTTCCCGGGACCATTTCTTTGTCATAACTTGGTGCATCTCTGAATGTACAGGTTTAATTAAAAATAGGAACCAGGCTTTTTATTGTCATTTCTGAAAGTTGCAGGACTTTCTCCTTCATGCATAATTCAATCCACATCCTGTGTCTGGATTTTTATTGTGCCTGTGGCTTCAGGTTCCCTGTGTCAGGGATGACAGGCAACTTTATCACAATACCAGGTGAGGTGGAGAAAACAGCGTAATGCACACAGTTGCCAAAGATTGTGACCTATCTAAAACGGATGATTTTTATAGTCTCAAAATTAGGGCACACTGCTTTCTAGTTCTTATTAGAAACTCCCAAGATGCTGCTGCCTTTTCTTTCTTCTTCTTTTTTTTAATGTGAAAGTGACCTTATTTGACCATAACTTCTAAGTTCTCTATAGAAGACCACGAGGCTGTAAATGGTTTACTGAACTTGTCCTTTATCCTTGTCCTCCTGCAGCTCAGCCTGAGACCTACGGTGGCAGAGCTACAAGCTCGAAGGATCCTGCGGTTTAACGAGTATGTAGAAGTCACCGATTCTCCCGACTACGATCGCAGGGCAGACAAGCCCTGGGCCAGGTTGACACCTGCAGACAAGGCAAGAACTCAAGTGTCTTTAGCTATGATTTCACTGATTTATGATTTTATTGCTTTTCTGAAAGCGCCAACACTCACTTATCCCCACTCAGCCATCTAAGGAGGCTTGATATTACCAAGTATCCCAATAATTTTTTGCCTTTCATTATTTAAGCCACTTATGTGATATATTTAGTACTATTAATGAAGTTCTTTCAACTAAGTCTCAGAAAAAAAATACAATTCTCATGGTACCAAAAATACTGCATATTTGGCCCTGGCCAGGTGGCTCAGTGAATTGGAGCATTGTCCCTTGGACCAAACGCTTGCAGGTTCAGTTCCCAGTCAGGGCACATATGTGGGTTGTGGGTTCGATCCCTGGTCAGGGTATGTGTGTGAGGCAACCGATCAGTGTTTCTCTCTTACATCTATGTGTTTTTCTCTCTCTCTCTTCCTCTCACTTTAAAAATCAATAAAAAAAAATCATTGGGTGAGGAATAATAATAATAATAAGTATTTGGTCAAATACTTATTAGAAATACCTACTTTTGGCTCAGTTACTTCCCATTGGTCCTACCCAGCACTATTCAGACTCCAGTTCCACTACATCAACCTACTTCTTTCTGTTCCATATTTTCAACAAAATCAGTCTCATTTACACTTACATGAAGAGTTATTAAGCCTAATCTTGGAATAGAAAAGAGAGTTAAGAATATTATACATGTGGATCACTAACATAACCTATGGGAGGGAAAAACTTTTTTCCCTCTCATAAAACAGTCTCAGGAAATCTCTTTAGATAGTAAGAGGAAATAACTCTTGGAATAAAACTATGGTCATTCTTGCCCTAACCAGTTTGGCTCAGTGGGTAGAGCATCGGCCTGCGGACTCAAGGGTCCCAGGTTCGATTCCGGTCAAGGGCATGTACCTTGGTTGTGGGCACATCCCCAGTAGGGAGTGTGCAGGAGGCAGCTGATCGATGTTTCTCTCTCATCGATGTTTCTAACTCTCTATCCTTCTCCCTTCCTCTCTAAAAAATCAATAAAATATATTAAAAAAAAAAAAAAAACTATGGTCATTCTTTAGTGAATTTTTTTAAATGGGTATTGCATTTCTTTAATTGGCTGTCGTCACAACTTGCCGACATAGTTTTTCAAGCAACCAGTTCCTATAATTCCACATCACATTCATGCCTGTAACTAACTCATCATTTCTCCATGTAATTAAAAATTATCTGGATGAGTTAGGCTCTGAAGCTTTCTTTATTGGGAAGAGTGGAAGACTTGAAGTAAGAAGGCATTTGCATCAGCCCCATCTTAGTACTCAATGCCCATTTGATATCTACAAAGTCACTTGATCTCCATTTCATCATCTGTGAGATGCAAGTCTTGAAATAGTGTTCAACTGCTTTGTAATAAACCATCCCAAAACTTGGTGACTTGAAACAACCATCTTATTTTGTCCACAGTTTCATGAATTAGGAATTCAGGAAGGGCCCAACTGGGTGGTTTGTTTCTGATCTACGTGGCATCAAGTAGGGTGGTGCCTGGGCTTCCAGAATCCACTCCTGAGCTGGCTTCTTCACTAGAACGTCTTTGCTTTGTCAGTCCTCAGCCTCTCTCTGTATCCACATGGCATCGCATCCTCCAGCACCTCTGCTTGAACTTGGGTTTCTCACACTGTGGTTTTCCGAGGGTGGGCACACTTTTACATGGCAGCTGGCTTGCAAGAAGGAAGCAAAAGATGCTAGGCCACCCTGGAATGACACAGCCTCACCTCTGCTGTGTTCTGTTGTTCAAAGCAGTTACAGGTCTCACCCAGGTCCACGGCTAGAGAAAGAGACTCCACCTCTTGAAGAGGGAATTACAGATGAGCATGTAAGATGTGTCTATAAACACTGAATTGGCTGTCTATGTGTATGGTCACAAGTGAATTGTAAGACTTACTAATATAAAGAACGTATAGCACACAATTTACAATTAAACTATACAGTACTCTGTAGATTCCACATCCCAATTGATTCTCACAGCATGCTTTCATTGACTTCTGCCAGACTCTAAGATCCGTAAGCCAACCTACTATTGAGAATAGGGACTTCGCCTATTTGTTTTCAAGGCTCCTTGAGTTGCATTTTCTTCTTGCACAATCACAGACTAAGATTTAATTCATTTTTTGAAATGTATCACAATAATGACATTCTTGAATACTTTCAGTGTACAAAGCACTTTTAAATAATGCTCTTAATTGATTCTAATAATATTATGAGGAATTCTCATTCCCATTTTCCAGATGAGAAAACAGGTTTTGGAACAAAGTAACTCGCTAAGGGTCACTGTATTGAAGGCATAGGTAAGACTAGATCCCATGACTTCTGACTCCGAGTGGACTACTTTCCACTTCCTCCACTGAAACGGTGACATTTAGAGGGGAAATTTTAAATGATTTTATGTCACTGTCCATATTAAAATACCTTCTCTAAAGGAAGACTTTTTGATAGATGTTAATTAGATGATTAGTATGGAGCAGCTTGACTGTTTCAGTTCCTGGTTCTAGGTACCAAGTTTTACAGTGATTAAAACAAAGTATCCTCACTGTTCATCTCACTTGTGCAGCAAGATTCATTGTCTTATCTCAGTGGATGCAGACCCACAAATATCTTTCTTCTTACTTCATCTTTTCCAAAATTCAGTAGCAAGAATTGCTTTTTAAAGAAAAAAAAATATTTCTGCAATCCCTTCCCAGCCATAGGCTTCCCATAGAGTCTATAGGGGTTGAGGAATGTGTTTGAGGAGACAAAGCAAGCTGTGACAATAGGATTTAAATATAACAGTGAAAGGGGCATTGGGAGAAAAACTTGGATATTGCAGAGTGACAGTGATAGGGGAAAGCCAGAGAGAGGCCTCAGGGCTTCCTTTTGTCCTTTTCATCTTTTAATATTCTTCATTTTCCCACCACAAAGTAGATTTCCTTATCTGTCAGTGAAGTCATTCTCTGTGGCTTGTAATGTCATTCTTTGTTTTGGCTGAAGAGTCCATTTTTTTTCAAAGAGATTATGGAGCTGTATTTATTAGTGTTTTTAAATTTACATGAGGAAACTATTTTATTTTATTTTTTTTAATTTCAGAGAGGACGGGAGAGGGAGCGAGACATCAATGATGAGAGAATCATTGATTGGCTGCCTCCTGCACTCCCCCTACTGGGGATCGAGCCCGCAACCTGAGCATGTGCCCTTGACGGGAATCCAACCTGGGACCCTTCAGTCCACAGGTCAACGCTCTATCCACTGAGCAAAACCAGCTAAAGCAGGAAACTATTCTTTGTAAAAAAGTTAGGATATAAATATAAGCACACAGTGGGAACCAAAAACCATCTGCAATCCAGCCTCAATTGTTAATTGATGACTGATGTTAACATTTTGATGAGCATCTCAAGTTTTTCAGCCTGAGGGACACAGGCATCTCTTTAAACCCCAGCATGTGCATGGCATGGACTATGTGTTCGTTGAATAGTAATAGTGACAGCATTCCGTTTGATATTTTATTTGAATGGCTTTTAAGTGCTGTGCTGAAACTCTCCATTCTAATTATCTTAACTTTCAATATGAAAGAATAAATAGCAACTGCCTTCTCAGTAGCTTTGTGGCAACTGCCTAGAGCAGTGATGGCGAACCTTTTGAGCTCGGCGTGTCAGCATTTTGAAAAACCCTAACTTAACTCTGGTGCCGTGTCACATACAGAAATTTTCTGATATTTGCAACCATAGTAAAACAAAGATGTATATTTTTGATATTTATTTTATATATTTAAATGCCATAAGAAAAATCAACCAAAAAAATGAGTTCGCCATCACTGGCCTAGAGCCATGTCACTGTGTGTGGTATTAAATGCAGAACTTACATAGGGAAATGATATTGTTTCTCAGAAGATCTCATGACCTGCACTACCCTTGTGGTCCTGGGGGTGACTCATAGATCAGACCCCAGGCTGCGTTTAGGAAGGGCCCCCTTCCTCCACCTTGTCCATGACACTTGAGAGAAATCCATCCCGGTTTTCGTTTGGGAGTAGCATGACACTGCATCTAGCATACCGTTTCCTAGGAGAAATTAGGAATCCCTTTCTCCAAGACATTTCTTTCTTGCTTGCTTTTTTTGTTCTTTGTTAATCCTCATCCAAGGACATTTTTCCATTCATCTTTTACAAAGAGTGGAAGAGAGAAACATTGATGTGAGAGAAACAATCGATTGGTTGCCTCCTGCACACACCCTGTCCAGGGCCAGGGCCGGGGAGGAGCCTGCAACCAAGGTACGTACCCTTGACCTGATGGAACCCAGGACCCTTCGGTCTGCAGGCTGATGCTCTATCCACTGAGCCATACTGGCTAGGGTTCTCCGAGACATTTCTTAAAAGAAGGCCTGCTTCATTGATGCAGTGTATGCCAAGAAAATATGTGACCTAGGTAACAAGTCTGTATATCTACTTTCTCTTATTCAGGCAGCAATACGGAAAGAACTAAATGAATTTAAAAGCACAGAAATGGAAGTGCACGAAGAGAGTCGGCAGTTTACAAGGTAAGTGGACACAATTCAGTTTAGCATATTAAAAATGATCAAGATGGTAAGTTTTATGTTATGTGTATTTTACCACAATTGAATTTTTAAAAAATACAATCTAACATAATACCATCTAATGAACATTTCTAAAATTAAGTCTTGTTTTTTCTCTCAAAGAAGTCTGAGTCATTCTAAAGGGCTATATTTGGTTTCTTTTTCATTTTATTTCCTGGGTGAGAAGACAAGCTTTTTGAAGAGACTCAGTTAACATTTTATGCCCTGAACAGATGCTGGTGGGAGCTGGTGTGGGTACTTATGTGTCTGCTTTGGACTCACAGTAGACATACTTAGAGAGGAGAGAAACTCAGTTTTCAGAACATGTCACTTAAAATAGGAATCCCATGTTCACTGGTGCCACAGAAGCTCTCTGTAATCCTGCCATCTTTCCTCCCAACACCCTTCAGGCTTCTAAGCCCTGAGTGATCATGTCATCTGACCCCCCACCCCCACCCCAATTCACAGGTGTTCTGGATGTTTCTATCAAAGGTTTACATGCTTTGTTTTATACAACAGGTGTGTTCCTAAAAATTTGAAAGTCAATCAAATCCTTAAGAATTAAATTGTTAGGAAACAAACCAAAATAGACGATTCCATGGAGACTTCTTTCTGGGAAACATGCCCCGATCCCCTAGGCTGGAAACAGCCTCTGGAGGGCAGCCCTCCATCAGGTGCCACCGTTAATGCTGAGGCTCTGGTGACAGGGATGTTGCTGCTGGAGAGCATGTGGCATGGATGGAAGTAGGATTTAATAGCAGACCTCCTCCCTGACGTTTATGGGGCTGTCTTGCTCCACAGCTACTGTTCCTATAATAACCATGTCTGGTGTGCAGAAGAAATCCCCTTTCTGCTAGGATATTTCTTGTGTGTTTTGTTTTCTCCAATGGCATGTTTGTTTGCTTATTTATTTATTTACTGAGAGAGGGAGAGGGAGGGAGGGAGGGAGAGAGAGAGAGAGAGAGAGAGAGAGAGAGAGAGAGAGAGAGAGAGAAAGAGAGAGAGAATATGCATACAGGACTTTCAGACATCCTGAATGTATGGGGCTTCTCTCTGTCTGAAGGCTTCATGCTGTCATAATCTACACAGACGCCCGTCACATGCCAATATCAAGCCAGACCTAAGTGTTCTCTCTTTTCCCCCCTCTATTTCTGGGGTCAGGAGAAGTTCTTGCTAATGTCTGATACCTGTGGTCACACTGTGGCAGTAAAGTTGATCAGAATAAGGTGGCTGGATATTTATGGTGACATCGAACTGGCTGGGACCTCCAGGCAACTGGGAAGGTGGCATTTTTCGTGTCTTTTGTGTCCTGACCCCTGAGATGTAGTGACTGTATCAATCCAGTCTTTGTCATTCAGGATAATTTTACTTCTCTGTAGTTTTCCTAAAAATTGTAGTATTTGATCCCCTCATTTCATTTGATGGCATTATATAAAGAATAAATTATAATAAAAATAATTAAAATTCTAAAATGCCTTTTTATGGAAGTCCTCATTTTATGAAAAATAAGCATTTACACTGAAAGAGGCTCTTTCTCTTCTGTTATACTCTATAAAAAAGTAAAAAAAATAAGATGCAGGGAGAAGTAAAGGTCATTTCTTTTTCAGAGATGTCTTTTTAATGTGAACAAATAATGGTCTAAATAAGCTTTCAAACAGTATAAAAATTTGTCAAGTAAAAATGAAAACTCCCTTCAGTTCTTCCCCGGTTTTATTCTCATTCAAACCAGTAACCACTGGTGGAAGTTTGGTGTAGATCAGTGATGGCGAACCTTTTGAGCTCGACGTGTCAGCATTTTGAAAAACCCTAACTTGCCCTAACCGGTTTGGCTCAGTGGATAGAGCGTCGGACTGCGGACTGAAGGGTCCCGGGTTCCATTCCGGTCAAGGGCATGTACCTTGGTTGCGGGCACATCCTCCGTGGGGAGTGTGCAGGAGGCAGCTGAATCGATGTTTCTCTCTCATCGATGTTTCTAACTCTCTATCCCCCTCTCTTCCTTCCTTTCTGTAAAATATCAATAAAATATATATTAAAAAAAAAAAAAAAAAAAAAAGAAAAACCCTAACTTAACTCTGGTGCCGTGTCACATAGAGAAATTTTTTGATATTTGCAACCATAGTAAAACAAAGACTTATATTTTTGATATTTATTTTATATATTTAAATGCCATTTAACAAAGAAAAATCAACCAAAAAATGAGTTTGTGTGTCACCTCTGACACGCATGTCATAGGTTCACCATCACTGGTGTAGATCCTTCTAGACATTTTTTCTGTGCATTTACAAACATATATGTGCATATGTATTTACATATATATACACACACACACACACACACATACATCTGCCTATATATATATATATATATATACACACACACACACACATCCTCAGTCACACACAAAACAGCATTCACAAAATTTTTCCATATTAGTATATATCTTATTAATTTGAATGATTCTATGGTATTTCATAGGTATTATGCCATAACTTCCTGAACAGTTATTCTATTGATAGATGTTTATGGAATTTTTAGTTTTTCGTTAGTAAAATGATGCTGTCTTTTGAGTTCCTTTATAAATGTATCTTTTTGCTCGCACACCAGTATTTCTGTATTAGTCCCATAAGTGGATTTCCTAGGTCACAGGAAATATTTTTACATTTTGAGAGATACTATTCTGTGACCTACAGTTTACGAGCACCCCCTCATCACCATGTGGGGGTGATGATGGTGGAGAAGAGGCCTATATTCGAAAGAATAAACATTAATATCCTATTTCACTGATTTCTGTAAAGTTGAGCATCTTTACATACCTTTATTGACCATTTATTTTTCATTCTTTGATTTGTCTTGACCAATTTTTTTTGGGTTGTTTATCTTCTTCTTATGGATTAGTAAAAACTCAGATATTGAGTCACTACATATCACAATACTTTCCCCCAATGTATTGCTAACATTTTAACTTTTTTATGGTTTTCTATTTAAATGTTTGCATATTTAAATTTGTATTGTTATTTTTTTTTAAATATATTTTATTGATTTTTTTACAGAGAGGAAGGGAGAGGGATAGAGAGTTAGAAACACTGATGAGAGAGAAACATCGATCAGCTGCCTCCTGCACACTCCCTACTGGGTATGTGCCTGCAACCAAGGTACATGCCCTTGGCGGGAGTCGAACCTGGGGCCCTTGAGTCCGCAGGCCGACGCTTTATCCACTGAGCCAAACTGGTTAGGGCTGTTATTTTTTAATTTACTGTCTTGTGTCCTAAAGAGGAGGGCCAAGATTATAAAAGTACTAGAGGCCGGTGTACAACATTCGTGCACTGGCTGGGGGGAGTTAGGCGGAGGGCGCGTCCCTGAGCCCGGCCTGCACCCTCTCACAGTCTGGGACCCCTTGGGGTCCTTCACGCTGCCACAGAGGCAAGAGAGGCTCCTGCCAGCGCCAGCCGTGAGCCTGGCTTCTGGATGAGTGGCATCTCCCCTGTGGTCAATTTGCATATTAGCCTTTTATTATATAGGACTAGAACTAGAGGCCCAGTGCATGAATTCATGCATGGGTGGGGTCCGGCCGGCCCAGCCCCGATCGCAGATTGGGGCCGGGCCTGTCAGGAGGAGGAGACAGCAGAAAGTTGGCAGGCTGGCCTGCCCTAATTGGGGCTGATAAAAAGCCGGGCCAGCTGGGGGGAGGGGCCGAGGGCAATTGGCTAATGGGCCCTGCCCCTGATTGGGATGGGGGGGCCAATTGGGGGCAGGGCCAGCCATGGGAAGGGGCTGTGGGTTGTGGGCTGTCCAACCCAGCCCCCGAATGGGTTGGGGGGGCCAACCAGGGATCAGCAGCCTGAGGGAGGGGCCATGGGTGGTTGGCCAGCCAGCCTTGAACCTGATAGGAGTGGGGAGGTTGATCGGAGGTGGCTGGGCATGGGGAAGGACTGCAGGAGGTTGCCTGCCCAACCCCACCCCCTATTGGGGTGGGGGGGCAATCAGGGGCAGGGCCAGCTACGGGGAGGTGCGGGGTCATCGGGGGTGGAGTTGGCTGGGGGAAGGGGCTGTAGGAAGTTGGCCAGCCAGTCCCACCCCCTATTGGGGTTGAGAGGGTCATGAGGGGTGGGGCAAGCTGGGGGGAGGAGCTGAGGTCCACCAGGTGGGGTGGGCCAATCAGGGGCGGGATCAGCCAAAAAAAAAGCTGCCGAGGGGGCTGGCCAGCAGCCCCACCATCAATCGGGGTGGGAGAGGCCAATCAGGGATAGGCTGTGGGCGATTGGCTGGCTGGCCCCACCCCTCGTCAGGCTGGTTCGCTGGTCACAGTGGGCATCATAACAACCATTATTATGGTCATTACAGCATTCTGATTACTGGCTTTTTATATATATAGACCAGAGGCCTGGTGCATGAATTCGTGCACCAGTGGGGTCCCTCTGCCTGGCCTGCGGGATCGGGCCAAAATCAGCTCTCCGACATCCTCTGAGGGGTCCTGGATTGCGAGAAGGCACAGGCCAGACCGAGGGACCCCACCAGTGCACAATGGGGGCCAGGGAGGGACGTGGGAGGTTGGCCATCTAGAGAGGGACTGTGGGAGGGCTCCAGGGCTCTGGCCCATCTCGCTCAGTCCCAATCGGCTGGACCCAGCAGCAAGTTAACCTACCAGAGTGTCTGCCCCCCGGTGGTCAGTGCACGTCATAATGACTGGTCAACTGGTCGACTGTCTGCCCCCTGGTGGTTAGTGCATGTATGTCATAGCAACTGGTCAACTGTCTTCCCCCTGCTGGTCAGAGTACATCATAGCAAGCAGTTAAGTGGCCTTAGCATATCATTAGCATATTACACTTTGATTGGTTGAATGGCTAACTGGACGACCGGACACTTAGCATATTAGGCTTTTATTATATAGGATTGCCTTTAGTTTTTACGTGTGTTTTTGTTTTACACTTAGATCTTTCATCCTTTGGGCAATTATTTGGATTTAT